GGACTATTCGATACGTGGCAGGAACGAATATTTACATCTTCTCCGATTTGAAACAAGAAGGATCAAGTGTTCAGATTCAGGGAGGGAGTGAAGTTGTACAACTTGCAGAGGTTCAAGTCTATCGAGACATAGGTTAGCAGAATTTGGTTGCTTAAAAAGTCATGCAGCTCACACGTTATAACTCAAACTCTCCGTAATTTTTTCCCCTGCTCTTGCCGAAGGCAAAAGATCGTAGGGAATAAGTAATCGGGTTTGGATATATGAGGTGGACTTACTACGCTGACGACAAAAGTCTGCTCCTTCGCAATATAGACCACTCCCCTATAATTCTGCGTGTATGAGATGTTTGTTGTGCTGCGCGCGACGCCAGTTATGTGTTAATCAATTACACGTATAACAACCAGTTTTTGGTGCAGTTGAGTAATTTGGGTCATTTCGCGCGGACCAGTGTTGCGCGGTATTATATTTCCACAGTAACCGATTGCCATAATCACGCCATTATTACGTTACATCGCTACTACATTCGTTTTGAAACAAGCTTCCACACGGCACACCTTTCACAACATCTACTACCAGTACCATGAGTGAGAAACATTCAAATCTTAAGGTACGCCAATGAATTTTAAAATATTTCTGTTTGATACTTTGCTGTGCAGTGGGTATTCGACTGTTATGCAACAACTTTCACTCACAATTAAATAGCCTCAATTTTGAAACTAACGATTTCTCGCATATTCATAAAAGCATAATGCCACGTTTTCCATTGATTAACATGGTGCGGTGGAGAGAAATTAAACCCCAAAAGGCAATATTCCCCGAACTTGCAATTTTGTGACTGATTTTTAGATATTTCATCCATCAAAATTTCAGAGGTTTGCCCAGTGGGATACTCCGAAGAAGTCGGGCATATTGTAGGCTGGGGCACTGAACTGGGAGGTAAGTTGGCAATAGGTTTGAGAGAGGAATGTGCTAAGGAATGCGACGCTCTGCCTCTCTGTCTCTCCTTTGAACATAGCAACACTGACAAATTATGTAATCTCAACAAAGAAGCGATGCCTAGTCAACTCCAGGGATATCTTGACTACGCTTTTTGCAGAAAAACCGGTAATCGCTAAAACCTTCAGCGTGCTGCTGTCACGGATTTTTGAGAATATTCTTAAACATTCTTAAATTCTTTAAAAAATCTTAAATTGTTAAACTTTTTTTTCAAAACTGTGATTGTGAATGATAGCAAATTGTCAATGTAATTTTAAAATAATGAACCATGATACCGGATACTTCTGCAATGTTTGCACATGCACTTCCAGCTTTTCAGTTGACCTAAAGTATTTGTATTAAAGCTACGATCTATATATTCTTTTTTGACGCATTATCGTGTGATTATCATGTGATTATCATGTGATTATCATGTGTCCTCCTATTATATTTCAGTTACATGCTCGGAGCCTATCATAGAAAATTCAGCCTCGCATACCTCGTACACTGCATCTCAAAAGTATGCGGAGGAAGCAACGGTGGAGATACAGTGTAAGGCGGATCATTTCGTGATGGGTGGTGATAAGACGGTCAAGTGTACCTGGACAGGGGAATGGTCACCTCAACTCCGCTGCGTGGCAATTACAGGTGATAAACCACGTGATATTATTTTTAAACCACGTGATATTATTTTTAAATCACGCGATATTGTTATATTTAAGAGTGTGGTTAGCAGCTTTAACAAACATTGTAGGGTAATGTTTGGTAAAGGTATTAACCACACAACTGCATGGTTATACTTATAATATCACGTTATTATTAAAAGTTGTTGGAAGCACAGTGTGCTTTATATTTTGTTTAAATCAATAAATTATCCTTTTCATTTTTTATTTATCAATTGCGTGCAAATATTCTGTTAAGATTTGATCTATTTATGTTATATATTTATGATTATGTAATAAAGTATTTATATGCTAATAAACCAGTCCCCAAACAAACAAACAAACAAACATTAATGTAACCCAAACTAACAAATGTTATAAAAGCTAGCCATAAACAGGCACAGGTGCGAAATGCAAACAACTCTGTGTACAAAAGAGAACGAATTCTCGAACCTTCGATGATAATCAATCAATCAGCCTGTCAAGTCACATCAATCGGGTAATTGTGGCAGAGCTACTGTGGACTGTGGTTACTGTGGTTACCGTGTTACTGTGGTTACCGTGTGTGTCTTACGTGGTAAATATGCTCAATTTACGGAGAACAGATCAATTTCATGTGCTTTAAAAGCAAAACGTAACATAATTGTAATAATGATTATACACACATCTTTCATTATCCATTGAATAGCAAGGTCAGGTTAGTAGTGGCGTAACGTTAACATCTGGTTCCCTGCTCCGTATAAATTTTTCGGCGCCCCCACTCCCCCTCCCGAAGCTAATTGTACTCAAATACTTTTTCGGGCCTACTGAACGAGATGTGGTAACACTGATAATATGATAGCAGTGTGTAACAGTCACAATATATGTAAGTGCCCCAGGCATCGAAATAGCTCAGTTCTCACCAGCTCACAAACACATAACTTTACTGGGGCGTAAAGTCCCTATTAGTATTATTGGAGATGTAAGTGCCTAGGCCCGGCTTTGCCAAGTTAAAATCTATATTAAATCACGGTACTTTCCAGTTTCAAACACAATAACCCAGCCGAGACTTACAGTTACAATTGTGCCACGCACAGGGTGATTTACATTATTGTTTGTTATGTCAAATAATTAGCTAACCCACGGTTGCCTTCCAATAATGTGCCCTACAAAGCTACAAGACAACCGAAGCTTCCCTCAAATTAGAGAAAAACTACTCACATCTATCAGCGCCATTATCGGACGGCTACCGGCCGAACTAACCCCGTTTATTTACAGTAAGAATAACTTTCCCCACAATCACTGCCCGACGCAAGGAGTCTCAGCAAAAGCCCTGCAAACCTACAGTAACAAAACCCCCAAGTATCAATCACTAATTAAAACCTTTTAAACATCCATAAAGCGTAAACGCAAATTTTAATATTCAATCTACGTTATACCGATTCCTTATATAATAGTTTCAAAACGCACTATTCAACCTAACCACCGCATTTTATTGTAAACTAACCAAACTAAACTATTTTATTCTCCAAGCCAGCGAAAGTTGAAGCCGAATCCGGTAATTCTATTGTGTTCCCGAAAGATATTTTGCCATGTTTTTTGTTTTGAAACTACCACTAAAATTTATGTTATGAATTTGATATTTTACTCTCATATTCAATGTCCATGATCAGACTGTGATCTCGAGCTCTCTGGGTTACTCCTTTTGATGGTATAACATGTAAGCTGAATTAGTTTTTTACATTTAGGCCAGGTTTGTAATTGTAAATATATTGTGTACCGAATAGAAACTTGCCTTGTTTTGACATCGCCAGTAAAATTATGTTTTTGCAAATTTTATGTTCTACTCTCATATTTTCTCCGTTTCAAACTTACATACAATTTCCGGTGATTGGTAGTGGTACGTTCTTCCGAAATGAGTAGCTAACTTTTTGAAACTGCAATTTGCTTGCACCCATGCGCGCGCGTGGATCGATCGATCCGCCGCGCATGTCATGGTGGATGTTAAAATAAAGTATTTTAGCCATTAATTACGCATTGCGCCTTCCAATACCTAAACATTTCAATTGGACATTGCCAAAATTAACCTCCGATCTAGTACTTCCAAAAGACATTGGCGTCTCCATTTCACCAAGGGAACTAAGTCAATAAATTAAACAAATTATCCAGCCCCAAAATTGGTTAAATTATTCCATAATTCATCGCCACTGCACGACTTTCACCACGAAACAGTCAACTTCAAAATACTAATGTTCACCATCACGTACTTTTCTTCTAGATTTAGTTACGCACTTAGAGTCATGTATATTAAATGAAATTAAATGCGACGGTAATACTGGTATAGGTTGCCATGACGATTTGGAATACTAAAAGGTCATCCTTAGCTACCTGTATAGCAGTGTATTTATCTATTTATATTGCAGCTGCATAACACTTAATGCCTTAATGAACTGAAGTGTATGATCGAATATGAATCATGCATTGGTATACATTAAAATTGAATTTTGAATATTCATTCCGTTTTGATATCCTAGTTAAAATGCAGTTAAATCAAAGATAATAGGATAAATGATAATCTGGATGATTTAAACAAAGTGACAAATGCTAAATGATTACATGTAACGGTAAGTATCTTCGTAGCAACGTAATTGTTATTACAATACCGACCCTTACTCCTAGTGGAATTCGTCTGTTTAAATTGTTTGGTACACTGTTACAGTAAAACCCTAATTTAACCTGCCCCGATTTACCGCAAACCCCGATTTATTGCGGCCATTTCGGTTAATGCTGATGATTGCTGACGGAGGGGGGATCGGGAGGGGTAAAAATGGCCAGCAACTTGCTGACGTAATATGTGAACGCTCTCTAAACACAATTGTGGTTTCCCATGCCAACCATTCCACGATCAACCATGATCAAAATATCATCATTAATCTGAGCAGTTCAAAATTTAAAACATGTGCATATCGCATGATCAGAATGCTGATAATGTTAAGAATGCTAACAATGTTAAGAATCTTAACAATTTTAAGAATGCTGACAATTCTATCCGTATCTCCTGCACGCTTGAGCTCGCGTTTTTAAATCACAAAATTGTTTGACAAGAATGATACTTGCTATTATCACTATTACGTTTAAATCTTCCACATTATGTTCATTGCACAGTGATTGTTCTAGGCCTTCAAGCTCGTTGGAATGGAAAGTGAAATAATGAAAATTCAAGTACGATAAATTGCAACAAATACGAAATGCTAATCAGTTTTGATGACACGCATTGGCTGGAAATCGCACAAGAAAACTGAAAATTCAAATAATTTTAGAAACATATTTCATTCATTATGCCCCTGCCTCCATTATATAAGTATTTAATACTTTCAACACTACTATATAACAAATAATTTGAGGAAACGATGTAACAGAATCAATATATTTTAATGTTGCCATGGGGTAGCAAGTCCCCATGGCCCATATATCGTAGTCCGATAGTTTCATTGCGTCCTAATATACTGCCCGTAAAGTTAATTGTCGTTCCCCAAATTTAAGAAAAACACGATACAAAATATTTGAAAACCAATGCAAATAATTCGATTGGTTCAATATAATATTACCTAGCACATCACTTTTACTACTTTGTCAATCTTGAATACAATATCCCAGTTCATTTTGTTACAAGAGTTTTAAGCGATGTACCGGAGTCGATATATTTAATGTTGCCATGGGGAGGTAAGTCCTCATTCATCGCAGTCCGATAGTTTCGCTGCATCTAAATATCACCGCACTAACCTGAATTTTCACTTTTTCGTCCGATCATCTTGGAAAGTTTTTTGTACATCCCCATAGACGTAAATAGTAACCAACAAATTTTTTTGAAAGATTCGAAAATTTAGGTGTGCCGTTTCCATGACAACCGCGCTCGCAAACCTCACAAATCTGGAAAAATTCTATATCTCGGGATAGTTTCTAGCATCTAAATATCACCGCACAATAAACTCCATTGTTACCTTGCTATCTGATACATGCTATCAGTTTTACCACAGAGCACGGTTACAAGAAAACCTAGTCAAAACAACAAGATATATCTTAAGTAAGTTTTAAAGATATGTTAGAAGTTTAAAAGTTAAGTAACTGAGTAAGATAGATACACCATACGTTTTAAAGTTACCAATCTTGACTCAATTGCACTTGTTACCGACTTACTGACACAGTCTTTAAAAAGTTTAGGAGAATTTAACAGATATGTTTTATCAACAGACATCCCGTACAGATAAAGCCATCATGTTATGAATGGAGTGAATATTGTTGTGAACAGAGGATATTATAGTTTAGATTATATAATGGATGTTGGATATACTGTGTGATGTTTCAGACATGTGTAATTTTCATGTAATTAATACTTTCAATATCGCGATATTAATTGATTAAATATTAAGATAACAAAGGTTTTAAACCGCCAATTATAATAAGTGGGGTATTAATTCATCTTGATGAAAAGCCACATAATAATACCCAATGTAGAACATTCAATAATCACACAAAAACTCACCATAAGAGCAACTAACACACGAACAAACAAACAAAAACAGCGCAAACCTAATGCTACGAGACTCCCTCTAGACTGTCTAGACGATCAGAGTGCTGAAAGTGCTGAAGAGTGTGCTGAAGAGTGTGCTGAGGAAAGTGCTGAGGAAAGTGCTGAAGATTGCGAGGAGAGTTCTGGACCATCAGAACTTTAAAGCACACCATAAAATTGGTAATGTTTCATCAGTCGTGTTGGAGCATTCTGTTTCTATTGGGAGATAGTAAATCACATCATGCAAGATCAGGGTGCAATGTTAAGGGTTTCTCTCCCGTGATAGCTCTTCAAATAAAACTATTTTATCTTTATCTTGATGATTAAAGCTATCATTGCTTCATTTGAGAATAATGTGTGAACATTTTGAACATTTAAAATATAATTTGGAACATTACAGTAACGTTATTCGATTGGGCGAGATCTGTCCGACAGCGACATCTGTCCGACTCAGAAAATAGGTTATTCGGACAATAGTTTATGTCGGATCCTACCGTACGATTTTTTGAAACTTTCCATTAAGTATGGTGGTTATAGGACGGATAATCTGTGTAAGTTTGAGCGAGTTTCTATGTGCCAAATTTGAGATATCACCTTAAACACACAAAATATCTCCAATTCGGTGTTTTGCAGTGGTTCCAAGGCATATATCTGGAGACCCAACGATACGATTTTATTGAAATTCTCTAGATAGTAAGATAGCTATATAAGACAAATAAGACAAATAATAATTAGTGCAAGTTTCTAAGTTTGGGTGAATTTCTATGTGCCAAATTTGAGATATCACTTCAAACACAAGAAAATAGTGCTGTCGGACAGATGTCGCTGTCGGACAGATGTCGTGTTACCACGTTATTCAAATCTCAAACAGAAAAAGTATATTTCAAAGCTTTGTGTTTTGATCATATAATATGATCGTGGGTGTATACTATATAGTGATTTTGATTGCATAATTTTGATTGTATGCGATTTATTTACATCGGCAGTTGCGTCCTTTAGCTCTTTAGGCTGAATTAAGCTTATCTGCCTATCATTGGATTGTTGAGTTCCTCAGAATCTCTAGATACAGAAAGACCTGTTTTTTTTGTATTTCGATTAAATTATTTGTTGTTGTAAACTCAATTTTAAACACTGCTGAAATAAAACAACTAATGAATAAAAAACTCTAAATGGCATAATTATTGATATATCCGGTATAAAATCTACAGCAATTTTATAAACAAAAACCTTTCAACTTGTTACAAAAGTTTGTACACACCCTATTAACAGCTCATAAAATAAGGGATAAATATTGATGAGATCAAAATAAAATGCATTTCATCGATAGAATCAATATACTGGAAAGTAGAAAATAACAATCCTTTAAGCTAACAAGAAATGCGGCCGCTTTTCTTTTGTGGATGGCCGCTCAATTTCCCGATCCGTGATGGCGTATTTATCATATTCCATACAACCTGGGGACGGCCCAGTCTTTACTGTTTATATAAACATGCAAATATGGCGAAGTGACATGCCGACTGCCGAGCGCCGCCCAGTTAATATAATTCTATATTGAATTTGAAAATCGTGTATACTTCTATGTAACCATATGTTTATTGTTTATGCAACCTGACACGGATCTGTGCAAAATAGTAATACTAACTCAAAATAATAATAATATGCTATCAATTAGTGCCTAGTGGGATACGTACATGATGAAATTAATAATGTACTTGGTTGGTTCAGCGCCGCGCGCCAACAATTATATAATTCAGATTATCACGCAAAATAACTTTGCGCAGGTAGTCACGTGGGCGATAACATTGCTCGCAGGCACGTACGCACGCACGCACGCACGCACGCTCGGTCGCAAAGCTACCATATACAAAAAAAACCTCGATCGCTAACCCTTGTCCTTGACTCTTTTGTGCCTTCGGCACGAGTCATGGATCGGGAAAAAATCTGACTTTATTAACTATCCACAACCACCAAATAATAATAATCAAAAATCTTTAAATCTTAACAAATTTGTCTATTCGACAAAAATATTTGTCACGTGATATGTATGCTACATGATAGATATGACATATTTTGATTCAAGGTGTAATTTTCATATAAATACATTATGCCTCTTATAAAATCTTATCTAAAACAAATCATCCATTTAAATCTTAAGATGAAACTTAAGATACAAATTATGGACAATACCCAAATATCGTAAGCTCAGCAGCCACATCATAATGGCATCTCCGTAAGTACCTAACCTATTATATAACGTATATATACGTTAGATTATAATCTCTCAGCCCCCTGACTCCCCTGCATAATTCTGCTTACAACATGATCGAATCTAGGATGCACTTCCAGCACTAGCAATGATTGTTGCATGTAACTTTTAGCAGAATCACCGTGCAGGGTAATCAAGTCTTACAGGTGACATTATTATATGGACACGTTCAAAAAAAGGTGGCACTAGAGATTGATTTTTTTAAATGCGTTTTAAAAATAGTCATTGCTCTTTGTTGGTTGATATATCTATCTATACCTTTAGAAATTCGATTAAATTTCATGATCCTGAAATCACGGAGTCTCTAGTGCATATGTCACAGGAGTTATCGTTATTAGTGTGCCAATGAGTCAAAAGTCACACAATTAGAAATGCAAGATGAATCAACACTAGATAATCTGAAAAGTACTATTCACAAAGAAGCCAAAATTGATATGGTGACTATAATGCATGTAAGGAATGGAATGTCTTATCTGAAATTGTTATTGGTGCCAAAATGAGTCAAAAATCACAACTTAAACGTTGGAAATGAGCCTATTTTGAGCAGTGATTATTGAATCATCTAACGTTTTTATTGGCTTTCTATCATTTTTTAGGGTACAAAATAGTATTAAATAGTATTAAAACCAGTTAATATGATTCAAAAGTCACATTTTCGTTAAAGGTGCGCTATTAAGTCACACTATAGTAAGCCTTAAATTAAGTGCACGATATGACAATTTATGTCCATTCTATGATTCTTATTATGTGATTTTTGAATCTATGTCTAAGCTTATACCATATTGAAGGTCTTTGAGCGATAATTTTTGATCTTGGTGCTAAATGATTCAAAAATCACATAAATCGAGCTACCAAATATGTAATTTTCTTTAAAGTGTGACAATTGAATCATATGTAATGTTCAAGTTGTAATGACATTTTGAAAGGAAAGGTAATGAATCGAAAATCACATTTCAAAAATTCAATTAAGTATTATACGTTACTGATTGATTCATTTCTCACATTATGGAGACAAAATTATCATGGCTTGAGTAGTAAAAGTACTTGCCTAGTTTACTCAGTTTAAAATCAGTGTTTTGTGATTATTGATTCCACTATTACTCTAATAACGAACTTCTCCATGACCATAAACAAGTGTCACAACAAATCACTGCAGATTTACTATGAATACCAACCTGATATAGAGCCAAAAAGTGATTCATTCCCCTGATACAGCATAATTTCAATACATGCTCATTTATGTGATTTTTGACTCATTATGGCACTTTTAACCATCTAAATTCTCTAAATATTAGTTAGCATGCTATAATTGTGATCGATAGAGTTCATTATTACAATCATTCCGTTGATATTCATATCACATTCATCATTCTAAAATAATTAGTCAGAATTAACCCTGTGTGTGATAATTGCATCGTAACTCCACATTTAACCGGTGACTCTTTGCACTTTTAACACTCAACTATCTCAAAAAGGTTCAATAATCGCATTGAGAAGCAGGACACACTCACAGAATGTAAATTCATCATTAGAGGTGCAAGAAATGAATATTTTGTGATTTCTGGCTCATATCTGCACAATTAACAGATATAAAGAGATGAATGACTTAATTATGTGACATTTGAATCTTTTTGGACCACATATTAAAATTTGGTTAACTTTCATAGCATACTCCTTGAGATACAAGTATTTTAAAATGCTTCACACAATTTTGGCAGTGAAAAATCAATCTCTAGTGCCACCTTTTTATGAACGTGTCCATATTAGCTCATATTAGATGAGATCCTGTAATCATATTGACTCGTACTAAAAGTGGGAATGTTATAATGTTGTGACTAAATGTGGGTTATAACAGCATCTCACTGAAAAAAGCAATATTATTATAGAGCTCCAGATTTTACAAAATACAACAATTTTGGTTGAAAGCTACATCCTAATTTTAAAACAGTCCCGTTACAAATTTTAGCCTATTTCCCCAATACCCGTTCAACAGTCCTATTCATCAGGAGAGATCACGTGAGCCGGGGGATCACGTGACTAAACAACAAGCTACTGATGAAAGCTCTTATCGTAGGTGCTGGAGTACATTGTGGGAAAGAGAGTTTCATAAACAACCTCTGCTCCATCCACTCCACTCCTCATATTCTCCTTGTTCCTCTGAAATACACACGTGTTATTATACTCCTTATATTCTCCTTGTTCCTCTGAAATACACACGTGTTATTATACTCCTCATATTCTCCTTGTTCCTCTGAAATACACACGTGTTATTATACTCCTTATATTCTCCTTCTTCCTCTGAAATACACACGTGTTATTATACTCCTTATATTCTCCTTGTTCCTCTGAAATACACACGTGTTATTATACTCCTTATATTCTCCTTGTTCCTCTGAAATACACACGTGTTATTATACTCCTTATATTCTCCTTGTTCCTCTGAAATACACACGTGTTATTATACTCCTTATATTCTCCTTGTTCTTCTGAAATACACACGTGTTATTATACTCCTTATATTCTCCTTGTTCCTCTGAAATACACACGTGTCATTATACTCCTTATATTCTCCTTGTTCCTCTGAAATACACACGTGTTATTATACTCCTTATATTCTCCTTGTTCCTCTGAAATACACACGTGTTATTATACTCCTTATATTCTCCTTGTTCTTCTGAAATACACACGTGTTATTATACTCCTTATATTCTCCTTGTTCCTCTGAAATACACACGTGTTATTATACTCCTTATATTCTCCTTGTTCCTCTGAAATACACACGTGTTATTATACTCCTTATATTCTCCTTGTTCCTCTGAAATACACACGTGTTATTATACTCCTTATATTCTCCTTGTTCCTCTGAAATACACACGTGTTATTATACGGCTCATATTCTCCTTGTTCCTCAGAAATACACACGTGTTATTATACTCCTTATATTATCCTTGTTCCTCTGAAATACACACGTGTTATTATACTCCTTATATTATCCTTGTTCCTCTGAAATACACACGTGTTATTATACTTCTTATATTCTCCTTGTTCCTCAGAAATACACAGGTGTTATTATACTCCTTATATTCTCCTTGTTCCTCTGAAATACACACGTGTTATTATTCTCCTTATATTCTCCTTGTTCATCTGAAATACACACGTGTTATTATACTCCTCATATTCTCCTTGTTCCTCTGAAATACACACGTGTTATTATACTCCTTATATTCTCCTTGTTCCTCTGAAATACACACGTGTTATTATACTCCTTATATTCTCCTTGTTCCTCTGAAATACACACGTGTTATTATACTCCTTATATTCTCCTTGTTCCTCTGAAATACACACGTGTTATTATACGGCTCATATTCTCCTTGTTCCTCTGAAATACACACGTGTTATTATACTCCTTATATTCTCCTTGTTCCTCTGGAATACACACGTGTTATTATACTCCTTATATTCTCCTTGTTCCTCTGAAATACACACTTGTTATTATACTCCTTATATTCTCCTTGTTCCTCTGAAATACACACGTGTTATTATACTTCTTATATTCTCCTTGTTCCTCTGGAATACACACGTGTTATTATACTCCTTATATTCTCCTTGTTCCTCTGAAATACACACGTGTTATTAATTATTATACTCCTTATATTCTCCTTGTTCCTCTGAAATACACGTACGTTACACTTAATATTAAACTTATTATATCATGGTTACTGGTTAGTTACAGGCGCTATCAGTAATGAGTGGTTACAGGTGTTCATCTCACTGTATAATAAGTTACAGGTGTTCATCTCACTGTATAATAATTTACAGGTGTTATCGAGTAAGCAGTTACTAATAAGTAGCCACCATATTAGCAGTTACAGGCCTTATATTGCAGTGATATTACAGGATTTGCACGAAGAGTAGGTTAACATTTTATCACTCCGGCCTTTTTTAAATAAAATATTTAATTTTAATAGGTCAAACTTCATTTCAATTATATAGCAACTCATTTAATTTTTCATTCAATACCTTCGGAAATAACTTTGCAAATACCTCTGTGCTCAATTGAGCTATCCAGTTACACTAAATAGTTACGTGGGAGAACTATTCAAGCTGATACACACTCGATTTTAAAGTAGATAATTGTAAAATGTAGTTCCTTTGTATCCACCGCTATTATATTAAATTATCAACGTTATTTAAATTAATTATTAACTTATCATTAACACCTCATAGTCGATCAGATTAACGGACTCCCGATATAGCTATACGTGGTAAATCTTTGCTTGACATAAACCAGAAGGATTTACTCAACAGTACTGAAATTTGTGAAGCAAGAAATGCCAACAAAATATTTTATAAATCCAAAAAATTAAAATTGTTATCGAGCATTACATGTGTGTGGAATATGCCTATTTGATCCCATGAAGAAACCATACCAATACCAACATACCATTCAAAATATAAATAGATTAACTGAAATTGCTCGAGTTATAAAGAATTTAAATCTCTCTGACAGTAAATTTTAACTTTCTTCTCAGCATGTAGACAATATCGTAGCATGATATTATTTACAGATTTTACAGATTTAATAAAGACTTTTATTCTATAGACACAAGTAACTCAATTTAAAAAAAGTAGACTTTCTGTCACCAGAAATATGAATACATTGTGAAAATTGGTAATCATTTGAATCTCTCTATATATAATAAATCATCTTGATAGATTGATTTCAGTGATCTCTATAGTTGTTAATAACCACCAACAAGCAACATGATCACAGTCTATAAAATTGAAAATAGAGTCAAAATGGTTACAGTTACCATGCATACAATACAGCGGTACAAAAAGTTGATTTTTTATCGCCATAAAACTAAACTGTGCAAACTTATAACATGAACATGGATAAAATAATACGTCACTATCATTAGAAGCTGATACGACAGTCAGATCAAGTTGGTCTCAGACATTTCCCCGGTGACAGAAATCGGAAAAAGTTCCGAGCAATCAGGTCATAATTTTTCTTGAAAGAGGCAATATTACAAAAAAATATAAAAAATTTTGAAAATTTATTCGAAAAACCTCTCTTGAGCAACTCCGGACATGTGGCTCCGGCCAATGCTGGAAAGTAGATTTGTTGGTTGTGTTCTCCGAGCACTCTATCTTACCTTTAGGACTGTGTTCCAACGATATCTGGCTGTGTGGTGAGTAATGGATTAATCTTAAGTGAAAGTAGTTGGAACTGATACATTAAAAGGTTTTAATATTAATTAATCAAATCTAATAATAATAATTAATTAATATTAATTGTAAAGTTGTTAGAACAGATTGTCGGTTATCAGTAACAAACCTGATAAACTGTGAAGGATACTGGCTCGATCTGGCAGCTGGGCGTAGTCCCTTCTTGCTGTTAAAATGTCTGCTGTAAGAGGGTACCTCAGCAAGAGGTGGATTATCATGTTCCAAACAAAGGGTGCTCATGTGCATTGGACGTACTCCTCGATGCTTACCTGTGAGGTTCATCTGTTACATAGAACAATTTAAGAGGGTTGGTTGTAGGATTTATTAATCGGGGAAGTCAACGTTATTGGTTATCTCTAAATTCTCATATTAAGATAGAAGAGATAGTGTTTTTCATGTTCAAAATTACATCCCAGAATTGTACTTCAAGTGTACTACATAAACTGATATATCAGTTTCATTGAACTCAACAAGATAATCAGAACCTCACACTGATAAACTTGTTATTCAAATTCAGGTAACTGTGAATTGTTTAGAATACAGAAAAGTTTGCTTCTAACCAGGTTGTGCAGAAAATGCACGCTTTATATTCTGATCCTTGCCTTCCTTGGAGCCATTCTCCATGACAAGCATAAATTTGGCATTTTCCTTAAGAACTGCTCTTGCATAAACTCCTTGATTTGTATCTGAAAAATAAGAGATTGTTTAAATCAAATTTGCAATGGAAGTCCATGGAATTGTAGTGGTGTTTTTAAACATTAATATGCATATATTAGCGATAATTCAAAGCAAAACATGCTTTTTAAATCGAATTTTAAAATGCTTTCTTAAAAGAATTCTTTAAACAGGACTATAATTGATAAGCGATAGATCATGCCAAATTTCAAGGAAACAAATTTAATTTTTAGCACATTTTACAGAGTAAAGAGATGTAAAACAATTTATAAAAATATAATGCTCATTTGGTGTATGACTTTTTGTCCTTGACTGTAAGTTTGATTTTGAAGGGACAGGCAACTAACGGGGCAGGGAATGTGCGTGCCTGAAAGCTTTTGCACACACCAAAACGCTAGTTCAGTTGAGTTTTTAGAGACAGGGCTCATATGAGGATCAGAAGAAAATTGTTAGCAGACGTTAGGGGTTCTGTTTGTGTTTGTTACTATGGGTTACAGTCTTGTTGTGACAGAAAGTCTACACTATATATATGCCTAAGTTTAAATTGTGTAGTTTGAGGATATAAGATGCAACTTAAAGATGGATATTGGAGAGCTGTTGAAAAATTATGGTCGTTGTATCAATGGTTATAATAAGCTAATATAAATATCTTAAACTATACAGTGCTAATTAAAAATTTCTTTATACTGCATTATCAAATTAAATGTTAAAAATTCAAAAATATACATTCATTTGATTATATCTCATAATTAAGCTAAATTAAACAAATAAATCTAACAAAGGCTTACTTATTGGTTTGTAAACAGGGGATGGAAGACGAGTAAGATCAGTGCAGAACCTTCTAACATCAGACATTATCTTCGCTTGTATGGAGCATCCTCTTTAGCTTAAAGATATGAAGACAAATGAACATTAATATTATTATATGTAATAGTTAGATTTTGTTGAGTGAGAGGAAGCCACAAAAAGAGCTCTGTCAATCATTGTACCCATAACTACCATCATAATTAAAGCTTGAAATTTTTCACGCTCAAATTTAATGACTATATATTCACAATTTGTTCAACATGCGATTTGAATTGGAAAAGTTGGTGTACTAAAATGGCCAAGGGGGTCATTGGGCATTGGCTCACTGTCTGTCAACTGTGGACAAAGCTTCCTTAAAATCAGTTCAATCCTACTCATGACACAAACACCAGCATAAGGATTACATTAGGCCTATGCTACACTGGTGGCCGGTGAACTCAGGCGAAAATGTTGTTTTCATTATTGAACCTTTTTAGTGTACCCTACAGTGTAAATAGTGTAAATACAGTACCATGCACTGTTAACAATACCAAGTATTGTTTACGAAATAAACATAACTTATTTTTGACCTCAAATGGATGTTTGAACATGATGGGGATGACACCATCTCAATGAGGGAGGATCACTGGACCCTGCAATTAACCACTGTTCCGGTACTTTTATAAGTACGCAATGTGGCATTTAATCAAGCCAATGAGCTGAAAAAGTATAGGGGATGGGAGCTTCTCTAATTTCTCCAAAAAGAACTCGAATCAACTAAGTCCTACCGAGCGTGCTAAATCAGTTTTCAGTCGATCTACGATATTCTTTTAAAAGGGCCCCCGTCGCGTCAGTTGAAACCAACATAAACCAATTTATTTTCGGACGCTGATTCCAAATCGGGGTTTCAGCGAATGCTTTTGTCAGGAATTGGATTAGGGTTAGGATTGGGATCAAATTATAGGGTTAGGGTTTCGAAAATTCAATCACCGCTGCCCAAATTAAAAAATGGATACCGTACATAGGTTATAGTTTTAAAAAAGTCACTGGACAGTCAAGTAATCATTATTCAAGTTTTACAGCTTATTAATCGAATTTAAAATTTGATTATAGCTTGATTATTGATTGACGATGTCCGTCAACCTTTTAGGATCATTTTTGCAAAGCAGAACGATTTACGATTTTCAATGCAAGGCAAGAATGATAGTTCGCGCGGCGCGTCAAAGTATCGAAATTCTCCAAAATTATTAGTATAAATAGCATTTAACAATAAAAACTTAACTAGTATAGGTATATTCAATAATGGAAAACAATATTTATGATATATCATAATCCTCCATGAATACATAATTACATAAATACATAAATATAATACTTGACGGATGTTACTCGTCTAAATTTGTTCAAAGTAGCGCGCTGCTTTTTTTCTCGAAATGGCCCGAGGCAAGTGCTATACGAAGTAGCGCGCGCCGGGTTAGTTTATTAACAATGGACAACATGAATACATGAATAATAATAATATATATATATAAAATGGAAATAAATTATTTAGTATGACTTGATCTTGACTTAATTATTAAATTTGCTATTACCGGATTATTTTCCCAAATAAAATGCAAAAAATATAAATATTTATTGACCAAAATAATTGAGGCAAAATTTTATTTGTTTTTTGATGCATGCATTGTGAACATTTTTTTCAATATTATTAAAAGGTCTAAATGTACAAATTAAATTTTAAAATGAAATTTAAATTTTAGTTGCGCCGCGCATGTTTTGCATATTAAATTTAAATCGTAGTACAAACATCGAGCGCTACATTTTTCACGTAAGAACAGCTACTACACTATATGTAATTTTTGTGTTGTTGCCTAATCTGATTTCTAACGATCTTTATATCTTACATCCTCACTGAAGAGGGAATTTATACTAATTTCCATCGTACTTATTACATTTTATCCTTCAGTAGCTACATTCAGCATTGTTCTTTATCGATTCAATATGCTTTGTTGTTCGATACTGAAATTATTTTAATGGATCTCTAAGTATCTACTTGTATCTACTCGTGTAGCATCTATGTGATCATCAAAAAGTTTGAACAGTTCTGATTACATTGTTAGAATTTTGAGCCAAAAATATTGTAATTAGTGAGTCTTTCTATTAAAAGGGCCTTGGTTTCCTAAAGTTTGATTTGGACTGTATCTTTGAACTTACAATTTTATATAAATTAAATGATGTGTGCAGAAACATGCATGATGATGTGTGATGACATTAGTGTGATTATTATTCGATTTGATTTATTTAACTCAATCGTAAGTATTAAGTATCACAACGTTATTCTCTGTTACTTAGGCTGATTTTTTCAGCCTATTATTATTACTGTATAATTCACTTATGCCGTAGTCATTTGTATTTTTGTGATGGCCATATAGGGAGGGTCTAGTCACCAGATACCTTAAAAGGAACACTGTTTAATTTCAATTTACTTGTGATTACATTAAGACCCTGATATGCTGAGCTCCAAGGCCCAATAATTTGCTAACCTCTTATCCCCCAAATTCTAAAGTAAATCACGGTTTCACTTACTCTACTGCCATTCACATTTATTCTCATTTCCACTCACACTCCCAAAAATATTTGAGGTTAGCTTCTTTCTTGTGTCAACTAAATGGTGGTGTATATAACAAAAACAAAACATCTGCTTTTATCTAGAATGGTTTGTAAGCAGTTTTCAATAGCTCTTATCTCTTATGTGAACCCTATACTGTGTACTCTCCTTCTTATATTAACAGAGGTAAGTTGATATATGCTGCATGAAAATTTGTCTTGATAATAGAAATTTACTTCAAATCGCTAACCAGGAACTGGTAACTTAAATATTCATGTATTAAGTAACCTGAACCTCACCAAAAGTTAATTTTCAGGCACACGTATTATGGTACACATTTGGGATAATCTTCACAGTAGCGCCTCTGTTCCTGTTAGTGAACCAGCCTTCTCACCCTGTTCTCTACAGAGCGTACTTTATTGGAGCTGTAGCTTCTGCAGGTACAGTGTCGTAGTTTTTAAATATATAATATAATATTAAATATGTAATATAAAATAAAACCATGTTTTATTTTACCTCTTACTTACTGTAAAGAGCTGAACGACATATTTTACCTGTTCTGAAGAAATAACGGATCAATTTGTATCCATAGAACCTTTAATTGATAAATAATTGAACTCTCATCTCAGCATTTCGTCCTAAATTTTTCCAGGTTTAATTTAAAATTATGATAAAATTCCAGGTATTGTGCTATGCAGATATAGCTTCCACACTCAACTTGGAGTATATTTCATCGGTCTCTCTGTTTTCCATATTACGGAATACCTCTTGACAGGTGACTACTTGATTTTTCTGTCCTCAATGTTGACCTTTCTATAAAATATATATCAAATTGTTCATCTAACTGCAACTGGGCTTTTAAAATATCAATTCTTCCTTATGCATGTCAAATCTTATCCACGAATTCAAATTTTTCTTGGCTCAGACATTGACTAATCTAAACTTTTTTTCAGCTCTGTTTAAAGAAAACAAACTCTCCTTGGACTCATTCTTGTTGAACCACTCAACCGCTTACCATCTAGCCCTAACAGCAGGGATGGTGGAATACTTAATTGAGTATGTTAACTTGGAGGAGGACAAGTTCTACCCGGTTAGTTCCCTATAAATATAATGTAATCCAAATAAGCTATCAGCTTTCTTCAATTTATAATAGTATTATTAGTGTGGTTATCAAGATATTAATTGCGGTATTCGTCAGTTCAGATATAATTCAGCCGAGCGTTTTGTGAAAATATGGGGAAGATATATTATGTATTTTAAACATCATCACTGAGGTCTGGTACGAATTAATTAATTAATTAACTCATTATAAACTACAAACACGTGACAGGTCATGAGTTATGTTGGAGGAGTGATGATAATTGCAGGGGATCTCACAAGGAAGATAGCTATTATTACTGCTGCGGAGAACTTTGACCACCTGGTTCAGTCTAAGAAGGCAGCTGATCACAAGGTACGTGATTTTATGGCATACGTTACCACGGTTACCAGTCCTTATCCTATTCACTTTTCTGGGATGTTTAGATTAAACACTGCTGAGTATATAAAAATATAAAGTTTTATCTTAAAAGTAGTGTTATTAAACTTCAATTTATTATTATCAAAGTGAAAATAGACCTCGAATGATTTAAAAAAGATAAATCAAGGTTGGGCAGATATTTAAGCGTGCAATACAATGTAATGTAATTTCTTTTATCTCTGTAGATTGAGGTATTTATATCTTACCGGTTACAAGTGGTATATCACCGGTACACGAATATTTTATTAAGAATTACAATCATGACAGTGTTATTTAGGTTATGTTATGAAATTAGTAATTAATTGTTTTTTAGCTACTAATTGATATTTTAAAATCATTATTGATGCTATGTAATTAATAATCAATCAATCACTCATTAACGTTATGTTATTACTAATTGATCCTATATATTTTGTAAAAGTTTCAAATCAAAATCACTACTAATTAACATAATATTATTAACTAATTAACTAATTAACTAATTAACCCCGTCAGCTGGTAAGAAGCGGTATATACTCCCTGTCCCGGCACCCTTCCTACGCGGGCTGGTTCTACTGGAGCATTGGAACACAGCTCCTCCTTTGTAATCCTGTCTGTAGTATTGGATATGCTTACGCTTCTTGGAAATTCTTCGAGGAGAGGTGAGACTTAGGGGCTATCTATAAATCAAATTAATTTGGACATATTTCCAACCCCTTTCTCCTTTTCTCCCCATCGTCGCCTTAAGTATTGAAATGAAAGTCATAATATCGGAAACCTCCCTCCTTCTTGTTTGACGACGTAATTTATGGGATGAATAGTTTAAACACTGCTGAGTAAATGTTAAAAGTGGTGTCATTAAATTGATTATTATCATTATTTTTTGTCGATGGAAAAGGTTGTTGAGGGTGTCCAAGTTATTTATGACATGGGAATTGAGATTAACGCATGAGCTTCAATAACACTGACCATTCAAGTCCAGTAGAATCACGTGTCAAAACAAAACTGTTTGTGAATACCTTTACCTGGATATAATTATTGAATATTGCTATGTAATAAAGACTGTGTAATCACATGTACGTGCTTTTTGCTCCTTAAATTTCCTAATTAAAAAAATCAGGACATTATTTATGAAACACCCTACATACATTCTAGAGGACATATTTAAAATTTCCATTGCATCAAAGTTTTCTCCGGATATACTGCTTCCAGTACCTTGATGGCGACTTGTGTCACGCTCGCCGACCTCACTGATTTGTCACTGGTCAAAATTTCAGTAAAAACCGCGAAATCTCGGTCAAGGGGACGGCAGAAAAGCTCCTCTTCAAAATCTTCCAAAATTTCTTTTTATATTCTGATGATTTTCCGTTAAATATGAAAGCTTTCTTTGGGAATAGAACTTTGAGTACTTCAATCGTGTCTTGTGCCATCCTCAGTGACCCTGTAAGATGGTCATTCAAGAAAAATGCAGTAAAAACAGTGAAATTTAGGTTGCGGAAAGCTGAAATTCGAATACCTATGTCCCATATCTTCTTATTCATACAGCGTCTGACCCGAACTCTAATATCGCAGGATCGAAGAAGAAGAGTGCTACCTGCTGCGCTTCTTTGGTTCGGAATACAGGGACTACAAAGAGCAAGTTGGCATTGGAATACCTGGAATCAAGGGTTACACTATTTCTCCTGAATTCAACGAATTCCTTAACCAAGTTAAGAATGAGTGATGATCCACCAATAAAAGCAGGGTGTCTGAATTATTGGCGTGTTTGAATTGTTATGTGTACTTTATGGCGAAATCAATGTTTTTCAACGGGTCATAACTTTACTTGTATAAAAGATTTACCATCAGAAGTCAAGTAATGGTCGTTTTTGAAAGCTTGGGTAAGCCTAAAATTCACGGAAAATTGTTTACGTGCCAATAATTATACCACCCAACCCTGCTGTACATTCCATTCTATCTACTCTCAGCAAAAGTGGTTGATTCACTTTCTACTTCATATTATTTAATCAGTATTTGTCAATTATTCGTGGTATAATGGGTTTATATATATTGTTTGAAGCAACGTTCGACAATTATCAGGGGTATGATGGGATAACTCCAGAAAATTACGCTTTGTAATTTAAACTATGTAACTTTTCTTGGCTTTATACCGTTTGATAATTTATATTAATAAAGTAATAGTATTCTAAGCGATTCTATCGCTGAAAGGTTGATACAAATAAAGCCTAATTTCATCGAGTCCTAGGTTGAATCCTACTGTTAGAATGTTATTAGTGCAATACTGCAATAGGCTGTACTCGACTAGTGGTAGGTGACGTAGATTTTTGGTAGAAAAAGTTAGAATATAATCAAATTTTACACTGGAATACATAATAAATATAAAAGTTTAAATCATTATTATAATTGAAACATAATAATTTAAATTTACAAACTTTTTCCAAACCCTGTTGATATTTTTGTCAATTATGTCGCCTTCCTACTATTAGTCGAATTCCAATGTTCTGTGTGCTGTTAAGTGTAATATATACTATTGTGTTTCCTTGATCTGTAATGATTAAATTTTTAATATAACTTATTTTCCTAGCTCGTCTCATCAGTTGTTGCTGATGGAATGAATAGTTATTCAATATGAGTTCTTAAAATTTTAGGTGTGTTTGAATTTTTACCTATTTCAGCGTTTTTCAACGTATTTCAGCGTTTTTCAACGTATTTCAGCGTTTTTCGACGTATTTCGACGTATTTCAACGTTTGTGCATTTTAGGGGAAAAGCTTCAACAGATCCATTGTTTCGGTTAATCACGACCGAGCGTATATTCTTAATTAATATTCTTGATTATAAAACAGTTGATAAACTTACTAATATACTGTAATATCAGAAATTCATTTATATTTTCTCTGTACAGTTCATATTTGAAATTTTCTACATTATAATTACTGTAAAACGCGTTTATATAATATTATTCAATACAATCGGTTTAATTTTCTGTTAATAAATCATTCGTGTTTTATTAATCCGTGATATCTGCAAATTTTATCTGAAATTAAAAAAAAACAACACACTCATTGATTGAAGAATCATCACATTTGCTAAATAACCACAAAAAGGGCAGGGACCGAGAGTGCCCATTGTCACGACAATATACGACAAAATATGACAATACTTGACAATATGTGACAATATACGACAATATATGACACTATACGACAAGATTGACAATATGTGACAAACCATGGGAAAATGGGCACTCTCGGTCTCTGCCCCAAAAAAGATACGTAACAACTTTTATTAAATTAATAATAATTTTAAGTTAAAAATTAATCATTAAATCAATATAGCAATAAACAATAAGCAATAAGTCATCTAATTAATTTTTAAATTAATAACAATTAAGTTAATTAATTATTAAATTACCAAGTTCTCACTTCCTCCTCCCTTTTTAGTAGCCAGATTTAACATGTCGTATGCGTACTTGTTCAAGTATATTATAATAGGAGACACTGGCGTGGGTAAGAGTTGCCTGTTATTGCAATTTACTGATAAGAGGTTCCAGCCAGTCCACGATCTGACTATCGGTAAGTGGTTATTGATTAATCGATTAATTAATTGAATTATATATCGAATAATTAGTTAAACAAATTAAAAGATTACAGATTCACGAGATTTTAACAAATTTATCACTGGCTTCCAGCTAAAAGGAGACCCAAGTGTGAATCCAATTTGGGTGAATGTTAGAACTAGAAACAAAAGGTTGAGTCCCCCAAAATGATGAAAGTTTTAAGGTTAAATTTCTGCCAATCCAACTGAACAAGACCAAATAATTAGTTAAACCTCACTAACATAATAATGTAATATTTTAACATAATAGCATGCTTAAAATTTAAATTCAGTTGAAGCCACTTTTGGAGTTCATCCCATTTACAAGTTAGAGTGTTTCTGTACTCTAAAGTATAAATAATAAATATGGCAGTTATTTATTAACTTGATGTATTACTCTCAGGTGTAGAGTTTGGTGCTCGTATGATAACAATAGATGGAAAACAAGTTAAACTTCAGATATGGGACACTGTAAGTTCATGTTAACTACTTAATTAGATAATTATTTCTCACTTTAGTATATAAATATTCATAGAAATAGGCATATGGGGTCGATCACATATTACGTAATTATTTGTTGTACAATTTTTAACCCCCCTCCCCCCTCCGTAATCAGTTTTACACGTAGCTATTGTGACAAAATTACAGTAATCATTTGGAAACCCCCCCTCCCCCTCGGCTGATTACGTAATATGTGAACGACCCCATATTAGTTGCTACCATTAACTGTAACTTGCTACAATTTCCAGGCTGGACAAGAGTCGTTCAGATCAATAACACGTTCCTACTACCGGGGAGCAGCGGGGGCACTTCTTGTGTATGATATTACCAGGTTAGTTACCAGGTTACTACCAGGTTACTACCAGGTTACTACCAGGTTACTACCTGGTTACTATCAGGTTACTACCAGGTTACTACCAAGTAACTAGGTTACTACCAGGTTACTACCAAGTAACTAGGTTACTACCAGGTTAGTTAACATGTTAGTTACCAGGTTAACAGGTTAGTAACCAGGTTAACAGGTTAGTTAACAGGTTAGTTTTATATACACATCCATATTTTTTGTGAACAAACTGATATGAATCCTATCTGCTCCAAATTTTAGGTTGTCTGCACACCAAACCTTTTCAAAGCATCCATTAAAATGTGGTGTTTTATGTGTTACCTCGGCACAGTTAGTTGTTTATAATTATTCTAGATACCAGTAGATTGTCAATAATAAATCGTAATATTGTAAAATTTGGAAGTTGAATATCCGGTTACATTGGACCTTCTGGAACTTTTCGAATTCGGCCTGTAAGTTTAGGAGCATTCTGTTCGCCTTTTAAGATAATAATCAATAAGATGTAGAATGTACTGTTTCGATTATGAAAAATGTCATTTCAGATGTGTTTTTACGGCTGTTAAAAACTAGTCTATTTATATCTATCCTAATTTATCCTCGGTTAAATAAGAATATTATTATCACTGTAATAAGTTTTAGATTAGGGACTAGAAGCACAATCTAAGATAAGATTTACTGGTTAAATTCTTAGTATCGTACGTAATATTTGATTATATAGTTCGAATCCCAGTGTCACCTAGTCTAGGGAGTATCTAAGGATCCATTGGATCTATGCGATCTCCTCGGTCGACTCAGCCGAATGATAGGAAACTTGATTGAGGGTTAAATGAGGAGGGGTACCTGTTAAAAGTTCAAGAAACTTCCTAGGATACCCCTTCAGTAAGTTACTGTAAACATAGTACTATTACTATATTACTATTACTATATAGTTATATCCCCCTTTCTAACTGCAATGAAGCTGACAACTGCAACATTTATTATTTACGTATTTTTCTCGAAGCCATACAATATACATCGGACTCAGATTAACATTCTCATTTCTGTTAAAAAGTGTAGATTCTGGGTGTTGTAATACAGTAAAATTACGCTAGTTTCTATCAGGTAATGTACTAAGGATTGAAATTTAGTGTGAGTCAATAAACATTATGGTATTGTGTAAGTCAAGTAAGATTACATTTTTTGCCCACTCACCTTAAATTCTTAAAAACCATTAAAATTTCTTCCGAATCCGGTACCGGTCGGGTCTTTCTTGATTTGATTTATTTGGCACAAAGAAATTTTCTCCGAGTCCGACTCGTAGAGTCACGTGTTACTGGGTGTGGTCAGGCTGTTCGACGAAATAGTACCTCTTATCTGATTTGTGATAACCAGGATATATGATAACGGCATTGTATTTCTACCTCTGTGTTCGACTTTGTGTAGCATAAAATTAGATATTTGAGGTATATTTGGATCAGAGATAGAGAAAAATAGAATTGTATAATGGGTATAATGGGTATAATGGGTATAATGGGTATAATTCATATTTTTGGTAAAATCCTCGATTTTCTACTTGCAAAATTTCAACCATTCGCTTACGTCTTAGTAAGACGTAAGCGAATGGTTGAAATTTTGCAAGTGGCGGCTATTGAGGCGGCTATTGAGGGCGTCCAGGCGTCTGTGGACGCCTTAAAATTATTATCTGGTGGCTGGTGCTTAAAATAGAAATAGTAATTAGTAATAGTGTTAGGAAATAACAAATCGCAATATAAAGGACTTCATTTAAACTATCATACGTTTTAATGTAAGCGCACGCATGATCTTCGTGAAATTTTGTGTTGTAGGGAGTCCAATCCTACCTCTGGACTACTCAGCCGCGCAGTTTTAACACATAGTTAATTGTAAACGTTACAAAGCACATCGTGCGCATCCCACTACAGGTAATCTATTATGATTTGCCTCGATTTGGGGGTCCAGGACCCTTTGCAATTTGACTGCTATATGATACTGCGCGGCTGAGATCGTACACGTGACACGTGTGGTGTCCTGTTACCCATGTTATAAGTTTTTGTTTTTGTTTGCTGTCGCCTGTAAAGTGTTACACATTACATTTACAAGGCCCTGTGTGTAATGTAATCGGTAGTTTGGAGGGATCAGCTTGAGCCGGCTCCCAAGCCCCCCTCCCCCCCCCCCCCCCCCAGTCCATCGATTGGACCCCCAACAAAACTGCCAGCCAGCTCCCACGAGCCGCCTCTGCGTCTTACAGTATGGTTTGATAAATTGCCATAATCTGCAGTCGAATTGCCACTGTGTCACAAACGCGATTTTTGGCGCACCCGATTTAGGGGGCATATCTGTAAGGCGCGGGGTCAACAAATCAAGTTTTATCGCGCGCACGCGAGTTTCTTTTCCCCGGATGTTGAACTCCACGGTCAATTCAATGCGCTATGTGGCAATGATTTCTGTGCTCGTAGCAGTAAATAATCAATATACCGACAAGCCAAGTCATGTGTCCTCTCTCAAGGAATCACGATCGTGATGGTATGTAATCTCAACAATATGTTGCGTGGACCTTCGTCTTACAGTCTGTTACTGTTAGAAAGTGGTGCTGAAGAAAGCAGTGTAATTTCTGTGAAACTATCAACCATTATTATAGCTTTAACCATTTTTATATTAATATTTGTGTTGAAATACGACATTTAGGTATTTGCTGGGCGTTTGGCATGTAAAACTTTCGTTGCCCGTTTTAACTGCAAATTAATAATATCCTTAAGTCTTAACGCATTTTGTGTTAGTTTATCAGCAAAAGGGCAAGAGAGTTCAGTTGATGATTTCACAGCAAGAATTAATCATTTATAGATCATGAATTGTAATAGAAATAACGGATAAATTAAGGTACGGATGTTTTAAATCTTAAGGGGGCAGGGGGGGGGGGGGGGGGTCCTCATGGAAATTTTCTCAAAATCGATTTTTAGTTGTTTCTAATAGAGGGGAGTGATGTCTATCAGATGCTTTCAATCCCATAGAAAAATATTGTTCCTAGCCGAAATTATTGCCGGTCAAAGGTCAGCGCTTGTGTGTAATTGTATTGCGCAAGGGATTTTTGATCGCGCGTCCTGAAAATCGACTCTAAAAATCTATCTTCTCCTACATTTTTTGAGCAATCACTCTGAAACTTTCAGGATATGTTCTAGGGACCATTTAGAAGAGATAAGCCGGATGGAATTTTGAGATAGGCCTTTAAAAATTTTTTATTCGATTTTGAAAATCTTGGACCTCGAAAAATCATCAAAAAACGAATATGACGAAATTTTGGTTGCTCCAAAGTTGGCTGAACATTAGAATTTAGCCACAAGATTGTCCGAGATGTTATAAAAAACACGCATCCTTTTGATTTTGAATATCCCCACCACGGGAACACCCAGAAACCATCTTACATTTTCAGTATCATAAACATAACACCACTTCATGTTTTCTGCTTTGAGCTCATCATGTATGTGTACGCTACTGTAAGTGTAAGTGCTCGCTTCTCTTGACAGTTCATATTCCGGGCCATTTGTTTCAATGATGAAGCCACATTCACCTCCTCCAGTTCTGTTGCAAGTCACACCTGGAAGTTTCATCTTGAATACAAACCTGTCCGGGGTCGGTGCAAGTCCTAGAACACCCTTTAAGGAATTTACAAATAAAGATTGTGGCATCCTTTCTCCTTTCAAACATATGGTATCATAAGATGATGAAAGTTTTTCATTGGTCCTTATTAATCGAAGAATCTTGATAAGGTGTTGTGTAATGTCGTTACTGCTTAAGGTTGAAGCGTCAATGTGTTCTGAAATCATGTCGATGTATTTTGTGGATACCTTTGGTAGTTCTAATTTCTCCAACCTCTCAATGAACCCTTCTATCTCCTCTGGATCGATAGTAAATTTGTTGGCAAATGCCGCTCTTTTTAACAAGGTCAATACTTCAAACATACCTTCGTGATCAGCAAATTCAAGGCGGGTGATATCAGTCAGACTGGTACAATCGTCCCAGTAACGAACTAAGCTCCGTACACTACGAACTATAGTTTCAGTTGAAATGCTTTTACGTTCAATGATTTCTTTAGTCGCCACTGTTGTTAGCTTAAACACTAACCTAAAGTCATCATTAGAGATATCCTTCATACCAGTTAACCTCTCGCACATTTCATGATACAGTGATCCATTCTGTTGCGCACAAAAGGACAAGTTGATGTGCTCTATCAAATACCTGGTTATATCATCCAAATGCGCCCTCCTATTAAGCCGATCTAAAAGAATCTCCAGAATAACGTCTGTGTTTGCTCCCGCTAGATACAGCAAATTCTTCAACTGATTAGTGTTGAGGATGTCGTTATTCTCTAGTATGTAGCGGGAGAGGAAGAGCGTGGTGTCTTGAAAGCGTACCTCTAAAATCAGTGCTTCCATATACCGCTTCACATTCCATTTACTGTAGAGGTAAAAGCACTCTTCGAAAAGGTACAACAGTGTCTCATATCCTGTATTTTCCCCAACACTCTTTATTTTCTTCAGCAGCCACTCCCTACAGGACTTTATCAGCCAGCCAACATCAAAAACCACGGATATCTTATGCAAATCTCTGAAGGCTGACTCTGCGATTTCCTCCACGACCCTGTCCTCTAGCAAAGTTAGAAACATTTCAACAATTCCTGGTGTAAAATCTGACATATCATGCTCGGTTTGGGCGCATTCCACAAAGATGTACGTGAAGCGGCTGCTACTTTCCACAAGCCGTTGTTTGTTGACTGCGAGAGGATCTCGGTCGCTTAATGTGATAATTACGGTTTCGTCAGCCATCATTTGGTCAACCTGCTAAATTTTTCAGTGTATTGAAAGTTAGAAACGAGTAATCAGTTAAACGCTTATAAATGTGACGTCAACACCACGTGATATTGCAACTGTACCACGTAACGTAAATAGTACCACGTGACGTCACCAGTATCACGTGACGTCACCACAACACTGTTATTTGACATATTGCGTGACTACGTCGTCAAAGTATCGCAGTTTAATACAGAAGAAATGGGTTACAAAAAGAACTTAAAAATTGTTGACCGGAATAAACACTAGTGAATAAAGAGCACGAAATAATGTAATAAGGTAATAGAAGATAGGAAGTAAATTCTCAGGAGTCAGGATGCTAGAAAAAGTTTTTGTAATGATATTTGAGCCTTTAAAATTTCATCTCATGATCTTCTTTTCAGTATAACTTCTCAACTTCAAATGTTTATGTCAACCTTTATCGCTAGTACACCGAAATCTATTTCAGACGGGACACATTTAACCACCTGACAACATGGCTGGAGGACGCGAAACAACATTCCAACTCAAATATGGTCATCATGTTGATAGGAAACAAGTCGGATTTAGAAGCAAGGAGGGACGTCAAATATGAAGAGGTGTGCAATTTTTTCTAGTGAATATCAAGTTTTACAGTTTGCTAATTACAGTTTGCTAATTACAGTTTGCTAATTACAGATTGCTAATTACAGATTGCTAATTACAGTTTGCTAATTACAGATTGCTAATTACAGATTGCTAACGGCCAGGTAGCGCAGTTGGTTAGCCAGCTTTGTAATCGTGAGGTTGCGGGTTCAAATCCCACTGTCTGCCTGGTCGTGGGGTGAGCGTCTTTGACGTTCAGCTAAGGATCGTGAGTGGTCTATGCAGCCCCCCGGTCTACTCAGCCGAATATTCGAGAAATCGGGTGTGAGGGTTAAATGAGGAGCTGCACATTGCAGCAAAGTCTCGGGCGAAGAAAGTATGGTACACACTACCTTAACCGTCACTGGCTAAAAACAAATCCTTCGGCTTCCTGTAATTGGCTGGTTGCACTTGTGTAACAATATGGCTGTTGGAATACTCCGAAGTAAAATAAGTGTCTAGATAAAAAAAATTACAGTTTGCTAATTACAGTTTGCCAATTCCAGGGAGAACAGTTTGCTAAGGAGCACGGTCTGATATTCATGGAAACATCCGCCAAGACTGCTCACAATGTTGAGGATGCCTTCATTTCAACTGCCAAGGAAATATACGAGAAGATACAGCAGGGAATATTCGATATTACTAACGAGGTACGTTAGCCAGTAATCAAGGATCTGAAGACATTCCCGTTTATATAACTTCCGCCCCGGGGTTTGAGACTTGAAATAGCTCAAGGGACCCATCAGAAACAAGTTTGGCTTGGGTAGAAATTTTGGTTATGGTGCAGTCATTGTATAACAGACTCGCAACTCTATCTCCTTAGCTTAGTATGTAGTGTACTAACAGTCTCATCATTTGATTTGCTGCATCTTTTACAGCATCATCTTTAGTTTCTTATATAGTTGAATCAAATATTAACCGATATATTGCTGTATAAAAATTGACTTTATTATTTATTTTATTATTTACTGTCTCATCCCCAGGCTAGCGGTATAAAGATCGGGCCACAACACACCCCAATGGGTGGGGGCCAAGGAACGGGGGGAGCCGCACCGGGTGGGGGTTGCTGTTAAACCAATCACACCGTCCTATTCTACACACGTGACGTCATCCACCAATCAGAGAGCTGTCTCGTTGTGACGTCACGATCATGCGGTGTTCTGATTGGTCATGGTATTGTGAGGTTACAACCATCGTACGTTCTGATTGGCCAGTGTATGATGACGTCATAGCTATGCTGCGTTCTGATTGGCCAGCAAACTGTGATGTCACAGAAATCGTGCGTTCTGATTGACCAGCAAACTGTGACGTCACAGAAATCGTGCGTTCTGATTGGTCAGCGTATCTCGACGTTACAACGGGACGACTGTGCTATTGGTTCTTTTTCTGCGATGTCATTAAAGACTTTGTGCTTGTAAGAGGTCGTTTACATATTACGTAATCACTTTTTGGACAATTTGTAACCCCCCTCCCCCCTCCGTAATCAGTTTTACACATAGCTTTGGTGCCAAAATTACACTAGTGTAATCATTTGAAAACCCCCTCCCCCTCGGCTGATTATGTAATATGTATACGACCCCTAACAGAAAACATCGGGCATGTTTCTTTGGTTAGTTAAAATTTCAGTTTATAAAATGACTGCGGAGGTGACGATGACGCACTTTGTTTTCTTAAATAAGATATGTAATAATTGTTTTAAGTGAATATATGGTATATTATATTAAGAAAGATATCTAACTATACAGGTGATATCAATGATAAAATTGTAACTATTCGTTTTAACTTCTGTGAAATGACTAGAGATTCTGTAAAATATTCTAGTAGAATATTTTGTTTTTGTTTAATCTGGATGAATATTTTGATCGACCTTTTTTTCGCTGATTGATTTCATTTCAAGTGTTTTATTTACCTTAATTGATTGAAATAACGCGTTTTTACTGATCTCCGTGTTCCACCGATATAGATACTTACCCTCAAATATGCCCAAATTTTGATACAATCTTTAGGAATTGAATCAAGTGGTTAGTTCATATTAGTGTTTTCAGAAAAAAAAATGTAGATTGCAATCTCATCAATTTATGTTATTTTTTGCTTAGACATATAAAGAGTAAGCTTCTTTTTTAAGCTTAAGAAATCTGATTTATAAATTAGGTTTTTTAAGCTTAAAAAAGATATATCTTACGACACGAGGGTTAAAGTAGAAATTGAATTTCTAAGCTTACCTAATACCTCGTGCAATATTGCATAAATTCACATAATTGAAATATTATTCTTATGTTTCTCCTCGTAATACAATACCGGAGGTATGTCTTGTACGTGAGCTTGCTGAGATAAGATATCTTCAGTACTCGTCTCACTGTTCGTATTCGTCTGCCTTTATCAATTACCTTTAGGAGAACATCAGCGTTTTTAGTAAGTTTAACATCAGCAATATTGAGGTGATTCTTTGGTGTAGTATTTGAGAGAATCCCTTGATATTTTGCTGTTTGTTTGTAGGACCTAAGTTATTTTGAGCGCCAGTTCATTTCAAGTTCATAGTTCTGTCTTTGATCACTCTTCTGTCTTACTTAACAACAGAACAACTAAACATCGCTTATTGTAAAATATAGAGTTGAATTGATTCCACTGCACGTTGTACTTGATAAACGTTGCATACCTATTATCGCAGCAAAGGCCTGTAAAAAGAGGAATACAACGTGTATCAAAACAAGATAGCAGTACCTACCAATTAAAGTAACTTTTTTGTTTTGTATCAATAATAGTCCGATTTCTACACAAAAATGGCCCAATGAAAAATTTATTTACTCACTAATATTTACAATATGATTAAATACGACTGAAAACCTGGCCCCGCTCTTAAATAACCCACAGACTGACAAGTGCCGTTATTCTATTCACGTGATGTGACGTCATGTCACGTGATGTGACGTCATGTCACCTGGTGTGATGTAATCATGTCACGTGATGTGACGTCATGTCACCTGGTGTGATGTAATCATGTCACGTGATGTGACGTCATGTCACCTGGTGTGATGTAATCATGTCACGTGATGTGACGTCATGTCACCTGGTGTGATGTAATCATGTCACGTGATATGACGTCATGTCACGTGATGTTATCGTATTCTATCGTCCGAACCAGGGACAAAAGGAAATCGCGGCATGTACGGAATCGCGATCTTTTCCATTATTTGCGACAAATTTTATCTATAGTTTAATGTATAGTCGTTAGAAATCGCGGTATCGCGAATTTTGGCCAAAATAATCGCGAAATCCTTTTGTCCCTGGTCCGAACTAACTTATGATAATCATAACTAACAAGGGGGGGGGGGGGGGGGGGGGGGCCAAGTGGATATTTGTAGATATTTGGATAATGTCATCCACTTTTTTCGTGAATTATCCATTGACAATAATCTACAAATATCTACATTTATCTACAAAAATGTATATCTCAAATATTTGCTCAGAAATTCTACTGAATTTTTGGAGATAAATGTATAAATTTGTAGAATTTTCGTGAATTATCCATTGACAATAATCTACAAATATCTACATTTATCTACAAAAAATGTAATCTCAAATATGGAGATAAATGTATAAATTTGTAGAATTTGTAGAATATTCGTGAATTATCCATTGACAATAATCTACAAATATCTACATTTATCTACAAAAAATGTAATCTCAAATATGTGCCCAGAAATTCTACTGAATTTTTGGAGATAAATGTATAAATTTGTAGAATGTCATCCACTTTTTTCGTGGATTATCCATTCTACATTAATCTACAAATATCTACAAATATCCACTTGGCCCCCCCTAACAAAATAAGCACCGTTAATTTATAACACTAACAGCAACAAGCGCAGGTGTGTTATAGCTATGAAACAGTACGTTCTGGCAGTGCTGACACTGGCACTGTGTGTGGGGGGAGTGGAGATGGTATCTACTGTGAACAGAGGCAGGGCTCGGGTAGAGGGGAAACAACTTCTACCTGGTAGAGACAACTGGGACTTTGTCGGGTAAGATCAGCTCATAATTAATTATTAATTGACTAAATGTCACGCGCACGTTAGAGGTCGTTCACATTGACATACTGCGTTTCGTTGTAGTTGAAAACGTTTACACACAGCTATTGTGTTAATATTACATATTTGGAACCCCCTCAGTGATTACGTAATATGTTAATTGTTAACGACCCCTTAACTGTGACCACGTGCCACGTGACGTGCCATGTAGTGACATAACAAATCAAACATTTCAAATCAGTTGGCAATTAACGAATTCCGTTTCATGATATCGATAAAGCAAATACAATCAATGGTGCATTATTATTTTATCGATATTACGATACGATTCGTTTGCTTGTTAATTTAGGTTGTCTTTGTAAAAGTGTTTAAATGTTCCTGCATGTCAGTTGAGCACTCGTCTTTGGAAAATGAGAACTCATTAGAAAACTAGAACAGAACAACTCCTGTCTGTAGTGAATAGTGCTACGTAGTAGTAAACTAACTCAGCATGAACATCTGATTTAACACGTGACTTCGAGGAACCAATGGGCTTGCTGCAGCAGCGTCCTATTATTTTCAAGTGACATTAAAAGCCTAACACCTGCCAACACGTGACATAACAAGCCCAGTACGTGACATAAGATCACAGCTAATCCCATGACGTCACTCATCAATTCCCCCTCAGACAAGATCTAAACTCTAAAGTTATACCTAACAACCCTGGTATTGGCCCTGAAACAAAGTAACACAGACCACCTCACACAGTTGTTTATGCATACCACGTGAGGTCACGAGTCCAACACGTGACGTCACGAGTCCAACACGTGACTTCACGAGTCCAACACGTGACTTCACGAGTCCAACACATGACGTCACGAGTCCAACACATGACGTCACGAGTACAACACGTGACTTCACGAGTCCAACACATGACGTCACGAGTACAACTCGTGACGTCACGAGTACAACTCGTGACTTCACGAGTCCAACACGTGACTTCACGAGTCCAACACGTGACTTCACGAGTCCAACACATGACGTCACGAGTCCAACACGTGACTTCACGAGTTCAACACATGACGTCACGAGTCCAACACATGACGTCACGAGTACAACACGTGACTTCACGAGTCCAACACATGACGTCACGAGTACAACTCGTGACTTCACGAGTCCAACACGTGAGGTCACGAGTCCAACACGTGAGGTCACGAGTCCAACACGTGACTTCACGAGTCCAACACGTGACTTCACGAGTCCACATAATCACATTACCTCACAATCCCCCATCAGACACGCCCTGAAGTCGGACCTAACAACCCTGGTATTGGCCCTGAAACAAAGGAACACAGACGACCTCACACAGCTGTTCTGGAGTGTATCTGATCCTCTGTCAGCTCGATACGGCAAGTTTCTGAGTTTAGAGGAGGTTAAGGAGATTGTTCAGCCGCATCCTCAGGATATCAAGGTAATGATGTTCGTCACGTGGTATGACGTCACGTAAATTGGTCAATTGACGTCAATTGAATAATATGACGTCACATCACGTGGTGTAACCACGATTGTCAATTTCTCAAACCGCACCAAACATATTCCATGTGTTACGTGTGTTATGTCTCTAGTGTGACGTAATGTCACGTGGTGTGACGTAATGTCACGTGGTGTGACGTCATGTCACGTGGTATGACGTCACGTGTTATGTTTCTCAGGATATAATGGTTTGGTTACACCACTACAATGTGGACTCGTGCTCTCTTATTGAAACCCGAGATTTCCTCAAGTGCAGGTTTGTTCTCAGTTAACCATGTCATGTAGTAGTTGAACAACACTATAATAACTTAATAAGTAGTTGAATATGACTGTACAATGTACAATGTACAATGTACAGTGTACAATGTACAGTGTACAATGTACAATGTACAATGTACAGTGTACAATGTACAGTGTACAATGTACTATGTACAATGTACAGTGTACAATGTACATATCTCACCACCAACAAAGTCCCAGTTTCGGAAATGTTTCAAATTCAACACCGAAATAAATCCTGAAAACAGGTAACAAAAGGTTGTAAGTTCATGTTGTGACTTCACAGGGTCACTGTTGGTGTGGCAGAACAACTGCTGGAAACTAACTTCGGTTATTTTCAACATAGCGTACAAAAGGATAACGTCATCATCAGAGCAACTCAGGTAAATACAAGAGCGGTTTGTGAGTATTTTGGGGCAGTTTACACAGTCAAAATGATGTATAATGGCGGTATAAATCTCTTACTCCTTCATAATATATTATATATCAGATAATTCGATAAATAAATATACATTTAACAAAGTTTGTTGGCTGAGCGCGCATAATCCCTCTCTGAGCGGACTGCAGAATTGTAACCTGTATCTCAGGAGTACACAGTTCCTAAGAGAATAGCAAGTAAACTAGACTTCATAGGAGGAGTTCACAGGCTTCCTAACGTGGAGAGCAAACTCAAGATAAAACAGACGTGAGTATATCTTATCGGACTTTATTTGAACGGACATTAATTGGACGATAGAGGCCCTTATAGCGTTCATTTTAATGTCCGGTCATTTTAATATCTGTTTACATTTTGGCGGACGACTTAAGAGATGGCCCTCGAGTGTTAATTTCAAAGTCCGTCCAAGTGGTGTCTGAGTTAAGTATTCACTGTAAAGTACGTAGCAACAGTACGTAGCAACAGTAAGGTAGCAACAGCGCTTAACATGCTCCTGTAACTCATCCCAACTCCAGGATGCCGTTACCGGACGACCTCTCCGCGTTCCGTTACGGGGTCCACCCCGACACACTCCGCAAGCGTTACAACGTCAGTGACAACGTGGCTACAAACGCTAACAACTCCCAGGTAGTGTTTGCAACGAGATATTATATCTATTATGAGCTCAATTAAATTTTATGACCATATTATCGCCGATTACCAGCTTGCTAGTCTATTGCTCGCTACTCTCACGTAGTCTCAGTCTCAATGCGAGAAGCTCGGAAAGAAGGTCGCGCATTGGGATGCCAGGTAATATCGCCGATAACCGATAATATCTCGATAATTCCTAAAAAGTTATCGATTATAGAATATTTTGAACCAATAACCCTACTATACCAGGCTACCGCCCAGTTCCTTAAACAGTTCTACTCCGCTGGGGACCTGACAAAGTTTATGAGCCATTTTGGCAAGGGTTTCCCCCATTTGAATAAGGTTGGTGACTGGAGTAGCTTTCTGGTTTCTTGCCGCAATTACGTAGCTTTGCCTTTTCTTTTATTTCACTTTCTTTTATTTTCCATTTTCACTTTCTTTTTATTTTCACTTATTGGAAAATATTGATTTAGTTTTTTGTTATTATTCAAAATTCCAATTTATAATGTGATAATGTAGGTCAATTTAATGTCAATTGATCTACAATCTACAAGTAATTTCTACCGCCATATTAAATAATAATACTAATTTTCATAACTCCAAATCTTATTTCAATTTGACAAGTGGAACAATGTGACGTAATTTGTTACGTAAATGTGACGTAATTTGTGACGTAATTTGTGACGTAATTTCCCCAGATCTCTCACGAAGTTGGACCTAACAGTGGTAAAGCAGGACTTGAAGCTAATCTGGATGTTCAGTACATTATGTCACTGGGTGCTAATGTTTCTACTACTTTCTGGAGCACCGGCGGGTAAGTGTAAAGTGGCACGTGGTGTGACATCATGTTGCACGTGGTGTGACGTCATGTTGCACGTGGTGTGACGTCATGTTGCACGTGGTGTGACGTCATGTTGCACGTGGTGTGACATCATGTTGCACGTGGTGTGACGTCATGTTGCACGTGGTGTGACGTCATGTTGCACGTGGTGTGACGTCATGTTGCACGTGGTGTAAAATTATCACGTAACTAGCTATAAGTTGCTATTTTTAATAATTTAAATAAGTCAAATAACGCAGCAAATAAAAAGGTCTTAATATCAACGAAATGCTGAAATATGTGTTGCAGAAACCCTATTAACATTTAATTAATTATTAACATTTGATTAACATTTGATTAAAGTTTGATGATTATGATAATGTTCTGAGAACATGAGTAACGGATAGTAATCTTTTGCAGGTTAAATAAAGGCCAGGAACCGTTTCTGGAGTGGCTGTTGGACCTCAGTAACACCTCTCAAATACCTCACATATTCAGGTGAATACCCCCCCCCCCCCCCCCCAATAATGAAAAATTAATATTTTTAGCCATGGCGGACTTACTGACTTAGCGAAAATTATGAATTAAATTTCATCCATTCATTAGCCTTTATTAGTCCTCGACTTATTGCCTCAAAACATCATGGCTAGAAAGTCAATGAGTTGATCTAAAGTTGTGTGAAATATGATGTATAACTATTAATTCTCTTCATTAGTTCTTTCCTACACAATCTGTCCAAGTCCAATTATTGTGAAAAAAAGTTAACTTTATTTTTGAACTTTCCGAATGATTAGGATCCTTGACGGAGCTTTTGACAAAAACGCTGAGGATTTTTAGATTTTTGCAATACCGCCTAAGTTTTCCTGTTTTAATATGTTTGGTTTCATTTTGAGAGGAAACAGAACTTAAAGCCAACAATATTTGAGCCGCCAAAGATTTAAAACTCGCCCAAAGAGTAAAAAAGCGAAACTAACGCTAGTTTCCAACTAAAAGTTATAACCCCCGTGAATTAGTAACTCTTTAGTACAAACTCCAGACTCCGTATTTACATTTGAGCCCTTGTTTTGCTAAAAATAATATCACCAATAATATTTTTTTATAATATTATTTGCGTATATAACTTTTCAGTTCCATTAGTAAAACTTCAGACTAAAAACCTTGTCCAATAAAAAATATTTTGATTCCATGTGAAACTTGATGCTCAACGAGCCCCCTATTTTTCCTAGAAACTATATAATTTTTACAGTTGCCTTTACAAACAACTATATAGTTTTTACAGTTGCCTTATTGTTTACAGTTCTAAGAATTAGCTCCACTCTACAGCATCAGATTGACCAACTCAATCCACCCTTACTACAAATCATTCGTCCAACACCACGTTTCAGCCTGACCGTAAAAAATATAACCCGACAACTTTCCATGATGAACTGTAAATTTCAAGGGGGTTAGAACTGCCCCTCACAGAAACCGCTTCAAAAACTCACCACACCTTTCGTTTGCCTTGTTCATTTATCAGTTAAACTCATTAGAAGCAGCGGCAAGCATATTCTAGAAGCATAATGAAGTGTTTTCTGTTATTTTGCCTGGTTGGCACCTCGCTGGCTCTTAACAAAGTCCAGTTGGGCGGGTTGAAAAAACTGCTGAAGAACCTGGACTCTGGAGTGTTCCCCACGTGTCAACTGGTCTTGTTCAGTGAAATGGTCGACTATGATACTGCTGAGAAGAACTGTCAGGTCTGTCGAATATTTTACTGTCCAATATTTTATCTCAAATTTAAATGAATTGTGATAGTTGTAGATTGAAGATAAAGTTTATATAGTTATATCGGATTGAGACGATGTTTAAAATTGTAAGTTCACACTGAACAGTGTGAACTTACAAAACGACTTGTTGATCAGATAAAATTTAATTTCAAAGTTTGATCTCACCTCAACCTGCAGAATTTCGACATTGGTATGGGAGACGCACAAAAGGGCCACCTGGCCACAGTAAACGACGATGGCAAAAACTCCGACCTAAAACTCCTTCTGCAAATGGCTTATCCTTACAAGGGGAAGTCACAAAAATGGGCTGCTGACCATTGGGTTTGGGCTGGACTCAGGAAGACAAAGAACAACGATGGAAGCAAAAAGAGCAAGAAATACAACGCAGAGGACTGGTCCTGGGCTGCTGACGGATCAAGCCCCAAGGAGTTCCACAAATGGATGAAGCACCAGCCAGATCAGCGAACCGACAAGAAAAACGGAGTGAAGTATCTCCAGAACCAAATGAGAATCAACCACCAAGGTATCTGGGATGATACCTTCAAGTACAAGACCCATCCCTACGCTTGTGATTACCAAGGTAAGTACATCATCTCCGCGAGCTCTGAAACCTGGAGCCAGGCTAAAGCTTCGTGTGAGGCTGCAGGATTGGAGCTAGCTAAAGTGAGATCTGATGCTGAGGTTAAAGAGATTATTAAATCTGCGGATTACTTCCTCGGGAGTAAAGCTGACGGTTTGAAACTGTGGGATAAGGAGAACTGGATCTGGCTGGGTGGAACTGATGAAGAGGAGGAGGGTGAGTGGAAGTGGGTGGATGGAAGTCCTATTGAGTACTACAAGAACATGAACTGGAGGAACCCTAACCCTGACAACGCTGAGTATATCAAGAACCAGGCTCAACACTATCTGGCTATCTCCAGGGATGGTCAGTTTGATGATTCGTTTGATCATAGGAGTAGACACAGAGCTTTCGCATGCCAGTGTCCTGGTACTTAGGTTGGTGACGTCATGCTGTGTGACAAGTGGTGTGACACGTGGAGTCCCGTTTACAACTTTGACGGACTTCTGATGAAAGACTCAAAATTCTAGAAGAAAGTTTAGAGTACTATTTTCAACAAAATAGTTTTCCTATTATGTTAAAAGTTACTGAATTTTTCGTGAATAGAATTTTGTTGTATGTTGTAAAGTCTAAGATTTATAGCCAAAGCTATTTATTTTTTTGTTAAAAAGAATAATCATTCTTCCAAGAGAAACCAAATTCAAAAATCAATTATAAAAATGTCCATTAACGCTGAAAAAAAAACGGTACACCAATTATACGAAAATCGCATGAATGAAGGGCAGAGTGAACGTCCTCTCTTGCTCCTAATTCAAATGTAAAAGAAATGATTCGAAATTAAGTTCAAAAGGGCGTTTAGAAAAATCATTGTAACTGTGAATTAAATTGCATTGAGAAAAGGTTTTGCCCATCTGAGTCCTAAGACAGACAGTGGTTGAAAGAAATCTTAATAATGCAATCAAAATGAAAAGATAAACAAACAAAATAACTCAAAATTATAGCCTGACTGTCAATTAACTACAGTTTATTCAACGTTTCCTGAATCAACGTCATCTTCTGTACTCTACCTGAATACTCGACTGGGGCAGAATCTAGAGAGCACTTGGGTCATCTCCAGAGTACAGACAATCCAATTGATCCATGTAGATATGATCCTCATCTTCTGGGCTGGTAACTACTTCAGCAGGTGGCATTACCTTATGTGGGGTTAAGTCCAAGGTGTTGCCCTCTTCATCGATCACATCTTTCTTGTAGTATCTGCAGACACCGAGCAAGGTCACAACTAAAAACACAGCCACTCCAGCTCCGATCCCTGCTATAAGTATAATTGGAATGTTACTTTTCTTGCAATCTTTTCCTGGATCATTGCAGACTATTTCGCCTATTTCAGAGCAAATGTAGTCCTCATTAACCTTACAGAAGTTGGAGCAGGTCTCGCCGAAATGATGTTCCACACACTCATCACATTCTTCTCCGGTTCTCCTTTCCGCGCATATTTTGTGCCCAGTGACTTGGTTACAGGTGTAATTTCCTTCTACTGGGCTGCAGTATGTTCTGCAATCATTTTCTGGGTAGTAATCGGTTTTGCAGACTTTTCCTCCTTCTTCATTGCAGGTATAGCTAGAGGTTTCATCACAGAAACCATTGCACTCTCCTTTTGGGTAATAGTTGGTTCTGCAGACTTTCCCTCCTTCATTATTGCAGGTTTAGCTAGAGGTTTCATTACAGAATACTGTACACTCATTTTCTGGATAATAGTTGGTTTTGCAGACTTTTCCTCCTTCTTCATTGCAGGTATAGCTAGAGGTTTCATTGCAGAATACCGTACACTCATTTTCTGGATAATAGTTTGGTTTGCAGACTTTTCCTCCTTCTTCATTGCAGGTATAGCTAGAGGTTTCATTACAGAATACCGTACACTCATTTTCTGGATTATAGTTGGCTTTGCAGACTTTTCCTCCTTCTTCATTGCAGGTATAGCTAGATGTTTCTTCGCAGAGAACAGTGCACTCATTTTCTGGATAATAGTTGGCTTTGCAGACTTTTCCTCCTTCATTATTGCAGGTATAGCTAGAGGTTTCATTACAGAATACCGTACACTCATTTCGTGGATAATAGTTTGGTTTGCAGACTTTTCCTCCTTCATTATTGCAGGTATAGCTAGAGGTTTCATTACAGAATACCGTACACTCATTTTGTGGATAATAGTTGGCTTTGCAGACTTTTCCTCCTTCTTCATTGCAGGTATAGCTAGATGTTTCTTCGCAGAGAACAGTGCACTCATTTTCTGGATAATAGTTGGCTTTGCAGACTTTTCCTCCTTCATTATTGCAGGTATAGCTAGAGGTTTCATTGCAGAATACCGTACACTCATTTTCTGGATAATAGTTTGGTTTGCAGACTTTTCCTCCTTCTTCATTGCAGGTATAGCTAGATGTTTCTTCACAGAGAACAGTGCACTCATTTTCTGGATAGTAGTTGGCTTTGCAGACTTTTCCTCCTTCATTATTGCAGGTATAGCTAGAGGTTTCATTGCAGAATACCGTACACTCATTTTCTGGATAATAGTTTGGTTTGCAGACTTTTCCTCCTTCTTCATTGCAGGTATAGCTAGAGGTTTCATTACAGAATACCGTACACTCATTTTCTGGATAATAGTTGGCTTTGCAGACGTTTCCTCCTTCTTCATTGCAGGTATAGCTAGAGGTTTCATTACAGAATACCGTACACTCATTTTCTGGATAATAGTTGGCTTTGCAGTCTTTTCCTCCTTCTTCATTGCAGGTATAGCTAGAGGTTTCATCGCAGAGAACAGTGCACTCCCGTTTTGGGTAATAGTTGGTTCTGCAGGAATTACAGCCGTTTCCGGTGAAATTAATATCACATTGAAGTAATCTGTACTTGAAGAAGAGAGTGGCTTCCCAATCAGAAGAGGAATATGATTTGTTAGTCCATCCCGTTCCGGCATGTATGCTCCCAAATGGAACCCACATCTTTTTATGGTTCTTGTGAATGCGTCTGTCGCTCCGTCTTCATCATAAACGCTGATGTAAAGATAGACAGTTTTATCGGTAGGCAAGGCTATCTCTAATGGATTTTTCAGTACTTCTATCGTAGATAAATCGAGGGTTTGTGTGTTCGAGTACTGTTCTTCGGTCCTTGCTTCTGTTATGCCGTAGAGGATATTTTCGTCTTCATCTAATATGTTCACAGGACGGAAGAAGAAATCACTGAATCCACCTCCGCCACTCGGATGACCCTGGGAATCCATGTTCCTCGTATCATTGTACCACAAAAATTGAATTTGTCCTCGTCCGCTGCACTGTACCTGTTCCAACAAGAATTGCGCCCGTTGTTTCGTTTTGGCGGACGCTAGATTTCCATTTCACATTTACTATAAATTTAAGTATAAGCTCCAATCAGCTCACTTCAATCTTCATAATATTAATAATATTGATAAATTATGCATCAAATACGGGAAAAAATTCAGTTCAATTGCCGTAGAACTTAACTTGTATCTGTAATTCAAGAAATGATCAGCAAAGGTAAACTATACTCGTGTACAAATCAATACACTACGCGTGCCACGTACAAATTGGGCGTATTACCTAATAGTAATATTATATTTATACATTACATGCATCATATACATTAAAACACAGTCGCGCCGCGCATTCATAGATCACAGGCTATCTATACATCACATCTCCGCAAGCAATCCTCGCGCGCGCGCAACTTTTTCGTTGCTTGGTAACGGACGGAAGTAAGGAACACGACATACTCAGACCCACCTACTGCAATCTCCAAAATCCACGTTTTTCTGCAAAAACGACCATTCGTAACCTTTCACTATTGCCTTTTTTCAAAAGGGTGAAAAGGAAAAAATGGCAGATTAATTTTTTTTGAAAATTCCATCTATGCATTAACAAGAAAATTTAACATTTAAAACGTTCTTTAATCGCATAAAAATACCGACAACCAGTGGCGAAATGTACTTATCTGCCGACCATCTAAAATTTGTACGCCACTGCTGACAACAGTATAAAGCTGATCGAAAAATAACTGAAAGATGCTTACCATTTCAAGAATTATAAGTAATTCGACCAAAAGTAAGAGCGACACCATTTTCCGACAGGCGAACAAATAAAAACTCGATCTTCTTTAATAATAACGTCGAACTCAAAAACCTACTAAAAGAGTAAAACAAAAACATGGAACAGCAATTTTAATTAAAAATAAAATATGCTTCACAAAACGTGAAAGTCATTAGCGACTGGACAGCTGAATAACTGATGTCGACTGCCATGGCAGTCATGGAAGTCGAGCAATCCTGGATCAGAGCAGTTTCTGTATAAAATAATAGTACTAGAAGTGCTATATTCCTCACGAGTCTCGACTGCCAATAACTGTGTTGCTAAAATATTTCATAATAAAAATGACTGAGACGCTACAAAATCGGAACAATAATTTATCCTCAACTCTTATCAATGCAATAATATTGCCGTAAAACTAATTGACCAATATTATCGATCAATTTAAAAGTTTATAGCAATAATTTCTTACTATACAACGTAAGGACATCAATGTCAAACAGCGCACAATGGACTGATTACACAAATTGATTTGGGTCAACATTTTAAATATACGTGTGGTACACTTTATCTCATTTTAGTTGCAAGCTTCCATTGTGTGTGTAGTTGAGCTTTTACCGTTCAATCATGGCCTTCGAAAAGCAATTTAATCGAAAAAAAGAGGGTACGAACCCTTAATATAAGTATAGATGGAGGGGCCGTAGACTCTGGGGTATCGGTCTGCGCAATCCTCTAGAATTGTCTAGAGAACTGTTAACAGAAGCTGGACGGTCTCCATAAGCTTATAAACAGGGATTTATCAAAAATAATAATGATTTTTAAAAAGGACAAAAGCGAGCGAAGAGGAGGAGTGGAAGTGGAAGTGGGTGGCCATCTCCTATCCAGAGTCTGAGAGTTTCATTATTTGTTTGATCATATTAGTAGACACAGAGCTGTCGCGTGCCAGTGTCCAGGTACGTCAGTTGGTGACGTCATGCTGTGTGACACGTGATGTGACACGTGATGTGACACGTGATGTGACATGTGATGTGACAAGTGATGTGACACGTGATGTGACACGTGATGTGACACGTGATGTGACACGACGACACGTGTAGTCCTGCCTACAACTTTGAAGGACCTTTGATGAAAGACTCAAAATTCCAGAAGAAAGTTTAGAGTTCTCAATGATATTTTCAAAAAAGAATTTTCCCAGTATGTTTGAAGTAACTGAATTTTTTAGTGAAAAGAATTTAGTTGTTTGTCGTATAGTCAAAGATTTATAGCCAAAGTTATTTATTCTTTACTAAAAAATAATAAATCATTCTTTCAGAGCTGGAAACCAAATTCGAAAATCAATAGTAAAAAAACGCTTAAATAACGCCTGAAGGTTCTTTCAGTCGCTATATGAATAAGGTCAAAGGATTGACATCTTTATCAAAACCCAAAACATTGGACAGAGTGGACCGTTTTTGATCGCTCCTAATTCAACTATTTAAAATAGACGATACAAAATTAATGATAAAAGATACTTTAGAAAATAAAATTAAACCCGAGATCGAAATCGTTCTCTTTTGTTGTGAAGAATCATTTTCAACCCTAGAAGCACAGCATAAGCATCTCACGGTTAATGAGGTTTTGAAGGTTCTGTCCATTTAGGTCCTAAGACAAAGTTTTATCTTTCTTTTTGAAAGAAATATTTATAATCCAATCAAGATATTATAAAGATAAATATACAAAATAACTCCACAAAATCGAGCCTGCCTTAACCGAACTGTCAATCAACTATTATCTAATCACGTGACACGGCCACTGTATCAGAGTCCACTCCGGTATCTCAATATTTGACCGGGATACAATAAAGAGCACTCGGATCATCCTCCAAATGATCATCTTCTAGACTGGTAACTGGTAACTGGCAACTGGTAACTGCTGAATGTGGCCCTAACTTGTGTGGAGTTGAGTACAGATCTTCAGGGTCCTCTTCTGAAGATCCAGTAAATCCTACTGGAACAGAACTGCAATCTACCCTTGTGTGAGGAGTTGAGTTCAACACGTTGTTTCTGTTCAAGGTAGAGTAGTTGGCATCGTGCTGTGAGTTTGGTGTAGAAATCGTAGTTTCGTTCATATTCCAAGTTGTGTAGACAACGGCAGCATCTTCGTGCTCAGAATTAAAATACACTGCCTCTTTCTTGTCTGGTGTTGAGTAAACAGCACCTGCCTCCTCGTTTTTTGGAATGGAGTGCACGGCATCTTTTCCTTTAACGGCATCTTTTACGGCATATTTTCCTTTTACAGTTGCAGAAGCTGCTCTGTTATATTTACTGTCAGTCGCGGGAACAGTTGTTTTATCTCTGTTCAAAGTTGAGTAGACGTCATCAGTTTCTGCATCTTTCTCCGGACATCTATACGCAGTACCACCTCCATTTAAAGTACAATATACATCATCCAGCATATTGTTACCTAGACATACGTTTACAGCCTCTCTTCCTGCCAATGTTGAATAAACAGCATCATCGCTCTGTGCAGGGTGGGAGCGTATTTCATCTTCCCCGGGCATTGTTGAGTAAACATCATCAGCATCTTCGGCGATGCGGATTCTAGATGTGGGTTCATTTTCATCTTTGCTGTTGATGGGCATCTCCTGTTCTTCCAATGTGTTATAGATGTTGTCTTCTTCATCTGTAACATCATTCTTGTTGCCGCTTTTCTTATAGCATTTACATAGACCAAGTATGATAACAGCTAAAAGCACAACCACTCCGGCACCGATCCCTGCTATAGTTGGAATATTATTTTTATTGCAATTGTTTTCTGGTGTTGCACTCTCATCATTGCAGACTATCTTGCCTATTTCAGAGCAAATGTAGTCCTCATTACCCTTGCAGAAGTTGGAGCAGGTCTCGCCGAAATGATGTTCCACACACTCATCACATTCTTCTCCGGTTCTCCTCTCCCCGCATATTTTGTGTCCAGTGACTTGGTTACAGGTGTAATTTCCTTTTACCGGGCTGCAGTATGTGCTACAATCATTTTCTGGGTAGTAATCGGTTTTGCAGACTTTTCCTCCTTCATTATTGCAGTTATAGCTAGAGGTTCTATCACAGAGAACATTGCACTCTCCTTCTGGGTAATAGTTGGTTCTGCAGACTTTTACTCCTTCATTATTGCAGATATTGCTAGAGGTTTCATCACAGAGAACAGTGCACTCTCCTTCTGGGTAATAGTTGGTTCTGCAGACTTTTCCTCTTTCATTATTGCAGGTATAGCTAGAGGTCTCTTCACAGAGAACATTGCACTCTCCTTTTGGGTAATAGTTGGATCTGCAGACTTTTCCTCCTTCATTATTGCAGGTATAGCTAGAGGTTTCATCACAGAGAACAGTGCACTCTCCTTCTGGGTAATAGTTGGTTCTGCAGACTTTTTCTCCTTCTTCATTGCAGGTAGAGCTAGAGGTCTCTTCACAGAGAACAGTGCACTCTCCTTTTGGGTAATAGTTGGTTTTGCAGGAATTACAGCCGTATCCGTTGAAATGGACATCACATTGAAGTAATCTGTACTTGAAGGAGAGGGTGGCTTCCCCATCAGAAGAGGAATATGATATTATAGTCCATCCCGTTCCGACCTGAATGCTTTCAAATGGAACCCACATCTTTGTCATGGTTCTTGTGAATACTTGTTTATTTCCATCTTCATCATAAACGCTAATGTAAACATACACAGTTTTATCGGTAGGCAAGGCTATCTCTAATGGATTTTTCAGTACTACTATTCTAGATAAATCGAGGGTTTGTGTGCTCGAGTACAGTGTTTCGGTCCTTGCTTCTGTTTTGTCATAGAGGATAGTCTCGTCTTTATCTAATATCTTCACAGGACGGAAGAAGAAATCACTGTATCCATTCCCGCCACTGGCATGACCTCTATCCATGTTCCTCGTATCATTGTACCACAAAAATTGAATTTGTCCTCGTCCGCTGCACTGTACCTGTCCCTAAAGTAACAAATTTACTTTGGAACAGAATAGAAATGATAAATTATGAAAATATAAACATTATCATGCCATATTTTGTAAATTCTGTGCATTTGACTCACATCCAGAAACATAGCAGATCGGCAGATAATTTGCAAGGAAATTTTGGATTTAAGAGGACGTTTTTGGCGCCAAAGAAGAAATTTATAAAATCTATGATCTGAATTTTGAAACATTGTACCATGAATTTTCTGGGGTAAAGAGGAAATTTTCTAAAAACAATCCAAAATTGTTGAAAAATGAAAGAAAGAGTAAAAAACTAGCAGTTCTTTGAATCTTTCTTGAACCTGTCAACTGTGTTTGAAAATGATCTTTATTGCCAAATTGCTTCTAGGCCTTCTGCCTGGGCAAAATCGTCAATAATTTTATCTTCAAATATATATCTTCAATTCTTGTGACTTGTCTGTGCGAAAGTTTAAGTTGTATGCACTCTACAATTCTCAGGATATGGTTGCCTCTACTATGCAAGGCACATATAACAATTTCTGATAACTACGACAGATGGTGCAAGCTGGCCGTGGTTTACTTGTGGGTTGTAGGAGAAAGCCACTTTAAAATATTTGTTTCTAAAATTTTGTAACACACTATTTTGAAGGGCTTCAGATATTTTGTGTTATTGTATATTTTAATTAATGTGGCTAAGCAAAAATGCACAAATTTTTCTGGGGACGAGCTCCAAATGCTTAAGAACTGTTTTGCTTCGCTCGCTGACACAGAAAACAGAAAATGTGTATCTGCGAGGAAATGTTAAACTTTCTGGATGTGGGGCATTTGAAATATCACTTTTCATCTAAAACATTCTACATTCCGCCTCAAATTTCTGGTCTGAGGAATACTGACGACAGTTAGAATAAAAAGAAGATACTTACTATGTAAAGCAGTATGAGTAATTTGGCCAACAGCAAGAATGGCATAATCTTTCCCGACAGAATGCTATCCCACAAATACAACAATCACCGACAGAAAGAACAAAGGTAGAAAACACAACGTAGGATACAATGTATCCATAAAAAGTGTTATAGCTACTCAACCACCAAATTAAACATATCATTTCCAGCGTTTCAGTATCAATACCATGTTTACCTGGTGTTGTCAGGTGAGAGGAAGAGGAACCAGATACTATAAAGTTATAACCTGAAAAGGTGCTCACTTATAAGGGACGCTGGATTGAGCAAATTAGTGAATATTAACTATTAAGTATTTTTATAGACTCAAAATTCCAGAAGAAAGTTTAGAGTACTCAATGATATTTTCAAAAAAGACTTTTCCCAGTATGAAGATTTTTGTTTGTGAAAAGAATTTATTTGCTTGTCGTATAGTCAAAAATTTATAGCCAAAGTTATTTATTCTTTATTAAAAAATAATAAATCATTCTTTCAAAGCTGGAAACCAAATTCAAAAATCAATAGTAAAAAAGCGCTTAAATAACGCCTGAAGGTTCTTTCAGTCGCTATATGTATAAGGTATAATATAGAAAACAAAAAGATTGACATCTTTATCAAAACCTAAAACATTGGACAGAGTGGACCGTCTTTGATCGCTCCCAATTCAACTATTTAAAATAGACATTACAGAATCAATGATAAAAGATAGTTTAGAAAATAAAATTAAACCCGAGATCGAAATCGTTCTCTTTTGTTGTGAAGAATCATTTTTAACCCTAGGAGCACAGGATAAGCATCTCACGGTTAAATTCACTGAAGGATCTGTCCATTTAGGTCCTAAGACAATGTTGTATCTTTCTTTTTGAAAGAAATATTTATAATCCAATCAAAATATAAAGATAAGCAAACAAAATAACTCCACAAAAGAGCCTGCCTTAACCGAACTGTCAATCAACTATTATCTAATCACGTGACACGGCCACTGTATCAGAGTCCACTCCGGTATCTCAATATTTGACCGGGATAGAATAAAGAGCACTCAGATCACCCTCCAGATGATTATCTTCTAGACTGGCAACTGGTTACTGACAACTGGTAGCTGCAGAATGTGGTCTTAACTTGTGTGGAGTTGAGTACAGATCTTCAGGGTCCTCTTCTGAAGATCCAGTAAATCTTACTGGAACAGAACTGCAATCTTCCCTCGTGTGAGGAGTTGAGTTCAACACGTTGTTTCTATTCAAGGTAGAGTAGGTGGCATCGTTAAGCTGTGAGTTTGGTGTAGAAACCGTAGTTTCGTTCATGTTCCAAGTTGTGTAGACAACGGCAGCGTACCTTCGTGCTCAGAATTAAAATACACTGCCTCTTTCCTGTCTGGTGTTGAGTAAAATACACCTGCCTCCTCGTTTTTTGGAATGGAGTGCATGGCATCTTCTCCTTTAACGGCATCTTTTACGGCATATTTTCCTTTTACAGTTGCAGAAGCTGCTCTGTTACTGTCAGTCATGGGAACAGTTGTTTTATCTCTGTTCAAAATTGAGTAGACGCCATCAGTTTCTGCATCTTTCTCCGGACATCTATTATACGCAGTACCACCTCCATTTAAAATACAATATACATCATCCAGCATATTGTTACCTAGACATACGTTTACAGCCTCTCTTCCTGCCAATGTTGAATAAACAGCATCATTGCTCTGTGAGTGGTTGACTGGGAGTATATTTCATCTTCCCCGGGCATTGTTGAGTAAACATCATCAGCATCTTCGGCGATGCGGATTCTATATGCGATTTCTTTTTCATCTTTGCTGTTGATGGGCATGTCCTGTTCTTCCAATGTGTTGTAAATGTTGTCTTCTTTATCTGTAACATTATTGTTATTCCCGCTTTTCTTATAGCATTTACATATACCAAGTATGATAACAGCTAAAAACACAACTACTCCAGCACCGATCCCTGCTATTATTAGAATGTTATTTTTATTGCAATTGTTTTCTGGTGTTGCACTCTCATCATTGCAGACTATCTTGCCTATTTCAGAGCAAATGTAGTCCTCATTACCCTTACAGAAGTTGGAGCAGGTCTTGCCGAAATGATGTTCCACACACTCATCACATTCTTCTCCGGTTCTCCTCTCCGCGCATATTTTGTGCCCTGTGACTTGGTTACAGGTGTAATTTCCTTCTACTGGGCTGCAGTATGTTCTGCAATCATTTTCTGGGTAGTAATTGGTTTTGCAGACTTTTCCTCCTTCATCATTGCAGGTATAGCTGGAGGTTCCATCACAGAAAACATTGCACTCTCCTTTTGGGTAATAGTTGGTTCTGCAGACTTTCCCTCCTTCATTATTGCAGATATTGCTAGAGGTTTCATCACAGAGAACAGTACACTCCCCTTTTGGGTAATAGTTGGTTCTGCAGACTTTTCCTCCTTCTCCAGTGCAAGTGTAGTTCAACGTTTCATCACAGAATACCGTGCACTCCCCTTCTGGATAATAGTTGATTTCGCAGACTTTTCCTCCTTTGTCATTGCAAGTATACCTCGAGGTTTCATCGCAGAGAACAGTGCACTCCCCTTTTGGGTAATAGTTGGTTCTGCAGGAATTACAGCCGTATCCGGTGAAATGGGAATCACATTCAAGTAATCGGTACTTGAAGACTAGAGTGGCTTCCCAATCAGAAGAGGAATATGATTCTTTAGTCCATCCCGTTCCGGGCTGCATGCTCCCAAATTGAACCCACATCTTTGTCATGGTTCTTGTGAATGCGTCTGTCGCTCCGTCTTCATCATAAACGCTGATGTAAACATAAACAGTTTTATCGTTAGGCAAGGCTATCTCTAATGGATTTTTCAGTACTACTATTCTAGATAAATCGAGGGTTTGTGTGTTTGAGAACTCTTCTTCGGTCCTTGCTTCTGTTATGCTGTAGAGGATATTTTCGTCTTCATCTAATATCTTCACAGGACGGAAGAAGAAGTCACTGAATCCATTCCCGCCACTCAGATGATCCGGAGAATCCATGTTCCTCGTATCATTGTACCACAAAAATTGAATTTGTCCTCGTCCGCTGCACTGTACCTGCCCCTAAAGTAACAAATTTACTTTTGAACAGAATAGAAATGATAAATTATGAAAATACCATCATCATGCCATTTGTAAATTCTGTGCATTTGATTTTGAAGTATATTACTTTTCATATAAAACATTCTACATTCCGCCTCAAATTTCTGGTCTGAGGAATACTGACGACAGTTAAAATAAAAAGAAGATACTTACCATGTAAAGAATAATGAGCAATTTTGCCAACAGCAAGAATGGCATAATCTTTCCCGACAGAATACTTTCCAATAAATGCACAACAATCACCGATAGGAAGAGCAACAGGTAGAAAACATAGAGTTCGGTACAATGTATCCATAAAAAGTGTTATAGCTACTCCACCACCAAATTAAACATATCACTTCCAGCGTTTCAGTATCAATACCATGTTTACCTGGTGTTGTCAGGTGAGAGGAAGAGGAACCTGATACTATAAAGTTATTACCTGAAAAGGTGCTCACTTATAAGGGACGCTGGATTGAGCAAATTAGTGAATATTAAGTATTTGTATTGTATTATTCTAATTTTCGTATATTTTTATGACCTAAATATGCAAAAATATAGTGATTTTTTATTTCATCTCAGAAATTAGAGCCATTTAAAATCCAATCATTATTTTCAACCCGCCCTGTACATCCTCACATCCTGGTACTTTTTAAGAAACGGTATCACATCCTAATGGAACAGATCTGCAAGCTTCTCTTGTGAGATTATTTAACCTTGTGTGGAAGATCCTCCATGGGTCCATCAGCAACGATCTGAAGATTAACTTCACTTCAAGACCGCGAACTGGCATTAAAGGAGTTGTACCCTCCCTACGAAGGGGTGTTGCTGCTTACCACCAGAGTCTCTATGACAATCCCATGTCTCTGGAATTATCTTCCTGGTTACATCAACAGGACGGAAGAATTTGAATCCTTCAAAATACAACTCACATCCTTGCTCCGGCACATCCAGCCTCCGGTCAAGGGATACACATCCCCTAATACCAACTCCATCCTGGAATGGCGAAAGGATCCGGTAACATGCGCTAAAACCAACAAAAGTAACAATAGCAAAAGTAAGTGACTGTGGGTTAATAGAAAAGAAGAAATAGCACCATAATACCTTGGCTGTTGACTGATGAGCGCGATAATCAATAATGCACGAACCGAAGGCGAGGGTAAGCGTGGCACAAAACTAAGCCAAGCATATTATGTCTTATAACATTATTAGAGTTACACTCTGGTATCATCACCATAATGCAGAAATCTGTTTAAATGGTCCTCAGCTGTGCAGGCTCCAAAGAGAACTCCCTGCATTGTCTCAGATAGATAATGCACGGAGGCACGGATTGTCATGATCATGAGCTTTATAAATTAAGGGAGGGAGATATTATATTGATTATTGGGTAGAAACGAAAAGAAAAAGGGAGGGAATGCTCCTTGTTCTAGGTATAACCTGTCGATGAAGTTTAATCGATTGACATGATAACTGTAACTGTAACTGTAACTGTAACTGTAACTGTAACTGTAACTGTAACTGTAACTGTAACTGTAACTGTAACTGTAACTGTAATTGTAACTGTAACTGTAACTGTAACTGTAACTGTAACTGTAACTGTAACTGTAACTGTAACTGTAACTGTAACTGTAACTGTAACTGTAACTGTAACTGTAACTGTAATTGTAACTGTAACTGTAACTGTAACTGTAACTGTAATTGTAACTGTAACTGTAACTGTAACTGTAACTGTAACTGTAACCGTAACTGTAACTGTAACTGTAATTGTAACTGTAACTGTGACTGTGATTTAATAAATATAACTATCAGTGACAGCCCGTGCCAATCACTATCACTCGACACTGACCGCTGACCGCCACCATCTTTTTCAGCGTGAGTTACGGAGATCACGAGAGGACCTTATCAGCCGAGTTCATGAACAGGATAAACTTAGAGTTCCAGAAGATTGGAGTGAGGGGTGTTAGTGTGCTGTTCGCTAGTGGAGATGATGGAGCTGGCTGTCACAGGTTAGTGATCAATCATGACGTCACGTGATGAGTTTTTTATCGCATCAAAAATTATCCGTCACAACCGAAGATACAGCCGATTAATATGTAAACCACACTCCACACAACATAATAACCACAAACTGATAAAAACGTCGCTCGCAAATCTTTGCACGTGCACGACCCTTGAGATTTGACAACACGTGACTATTCCTCAGGTTTGAGGACGAATCGTACACTTTTGAACCAGACTTTCCCTCCTCCTCCCCCTTTGTTACCACAGTTGGAGGCACTATGTTTACTGCTGTGTTCAGTGATGTTAATGAGAAGGGTAACGATATTTCTGGGGGAGGTTTCAGTAATATCTTCAGCATGCCCAAATATCAGGTATTTGTTAATTTATTATTATTAATATTAAGTCAAGAATTTTCGCATTGTAGTATCAATATGGAGCTTAAACATGTATATTTCTGAAACTGAACCGTGTCGGACCCATTCGTCTACACCACAATTATTTCCTCCTCAAGCATTTCTCCGTATATTTTTATTTTTATCAGAATTTCAAATAAATATCCTTGTTAAGATGGAGACAGTATCAGGTTATCTGAACTAATAAATATCCTTGCTCAGATGGAGACAGTATCAGGTTGTCTGAACTAATAAATATCCTTGCTCAGATGGAGACAGTATCAGGTTATCTGAACTTATAAATATCCTTGCTCAGATGGAGACAGTATCAGGTTATCTGAACTAATAAATATCCTTGCTCAGATGGAGACAGTATCAGGTTGTCTGAACTAATAAAGGGGGGGGTCCACGTTAAAAAAGTTAAATTCTAAGATCGAGATTTTGGAATTTAACATTAATTACTTTAACTTTTTTAACTTTTTTAACATAAATTAAAAATCAGATTTTGGCAGACTAATCGGTTCAAATTTTAACATAATTACCCAAATTAAACTCAATTATGAGTGTTGACCTTTAGTACTAGTAGTACCTCGCTCTTGCAATTGTTTTCTGTAGTTGTAACTGATTTGATAACTCTACAAAAAAAAACACCTTGTATCTATATATACACATAATTGCAAAAATGAAACGACCGGTTGAGTCAGACGACGCCACCCACAAATATACACATAATTGTATAATTTACTAATATAATCATTCATATAATACGAAAAAAGAATATGGCTTGGCGGTGTAAGTGCGGAAGGGTTATGGAAAGTCTCACATACGACAGATGTTTACGTTGCAATTTAGCGAAGGCATCAGGAGAGTCGCTCATTCGCTTGAAGGGTTCCTGTAGCTGTAATCCCTGTACCCGAACCATCTACTGAGGACACATCATCAGGTATTGATACTCCGGAGCTTCCTCCAGCTGTAATCCCTGTACCCGAACCATCTACTGAGGACGTATCAGTTGTTGTCAACACTTCAAAAAGGGCTGCTGATTCATCAAAACCTAGAACTCAATATGATTCTGAAGACGAATCATCTGCTGATGTTATCACTACTGCGATAATAACAAGCAACTCATTCAAGAGGAGAGCTGTCCCTACTTTTAGGATTCCAAAGATTAAGAAACCGACGGTGCAAAGCAAATTGACGATTATGGATAAATCTTCATCGACGGGTCTGAAGAAGAAGGAGCATTTGCGGGCTAACACTGATAATTTAACCACGAGAACTCCCACAGTAGTCAATTATAAATTCACAATTGGACGACCAATTGATGTTGATAAGATAAACAGCAGCAAGAAAGTGTTAAATTCAAAGAAGGAAACAGCACTTAACAAGTTGTCTACACGACTCATTGAAGGTGGAACTGCAATCAAGAATGAGAATCAGCAGGGAAATCGGGACAAATTGAACTCTAGAAATACTCCTCCAACAAGTTCTCTGAGTACAATTAGACTGCCAGTACACGATGGAAAAGGTGATAAGCCTGTGATCGCGAAGAAAGAGACTGTTTTAAACAAACTTTCTACAAGATTCGCCACAGAATATGGCACTTCCACGCCGAAAAACAAACTTTGTAAGGAGAAATCCGGAAGAAAGGCGCTCGATGCCGAAACGATTAAAGATAGATGCACGGTCAGGACGAATTTTGAAATTGAATTGTGGAAGTGTAACGACATAGTACCTGGCCAGATTATCAAGGCCAAAGCAATTCAACGGGTTTTATATTCAGACTTGGGTGTTCTTTAGAGGAAGCTTGCCTACAGAATATATACAATATTTTCGGAGGAAAAAAATCCAGGTGTCCTACGTTATCAATTGTGCGATCCATGGAGCGGGTATTAAGACTAAAATCTAAGAAAAGACGTCGTCGGATGATGAGTATTTTACCTACCCCGGAATGTCAGAATGGAACAAAGAGTACAGATGATGTGGTGCAGAATACTGTGCATCAGCCATGCCCAATAGCTAGAGTGAAACCAATCTTGTCATCGGAAACTATTCAATCTATTCCAAAAATACAAGGAAAGCTGTCTACTAATTATGTCCATGCAAATGTGACAGGGAAGCATTCTTTTGCCTTTATTTCCCACATTGCGGTAATGCTAGAGTTAACTAGATCACTAGGTCCGTCCAAGCAATTTGAAAAGTTGTGACGATGAGGAACTTGTGCATAGATCGTTGAATGAAATAAAAAATAATCAGGATTCAAAGAAATATCTAAATGTAATTGATAGCGCGGAAGATATTGAAAATGAAGTCCCTGAAGTCTTAAACCAGGTAAAGAACCTATTGGGGTGTGTGAAAGTGAAACAACCAGATCGAAGATCTGTTTCAAAACATAGATGCTCTCATAATCTAAAGAGCCATTTAGCCAGTTATATAATATAATAACATCTATAAACAAAAGAGCACCTAAAGAGGCTCAGCAAAGTGCTGGCCTATTTACGCTTACGAAGACTCATTCGTTCAATATGTCTCAAAGTAAATAAACTCCTCCATCCTACTCTATCTCTTGCTAAGTTCACTAAGTTGGTAAAATCATCTTCATTTTTTAAATAAATTTGTCTCTTAAATAGGTCCTTTTTCACAATAATATCATACAAATTAGTCCTGTGTCTACCCACTCGTCCCTTTAGTGTTTGACATCCTAGTGTAGCAAATAACAGAGACTGGTAGGCAGGTGTGTTGTTGTCACTGCGTAGAACATGACCTAGCATTGTCCACCGTGCCTTTTCCACTCTCTCGGAAAGGGGCCTGGTCTGGGTACGAGCGTAGAGGGCCTTGTTAGATATTGAGCTAGGCCAATATATGTGTAGGATGCGCTTGAGGTGCTTCCTCTGAAGAACATCTACAGACTCTAGAACATGCTGAGGTACGGCCCAGCAGCAGCAGTTGTACAGGAGCACTGATACTACTAGTGAGTCGTAGAGTTTGATCTTTCTCTTCTCAGTTATCTGATCCCTGGCACCACAGCTTGTCAAATGACCAGAAGGCAGAGTTAGCTTTATTTATTCTATTAGTAACATCCTGCTCTGGTCCAAGCTTAGTACCAAGAAGCGTCTCGTTTCTCCACTCCTCTTTTCCTCTTAGTTCATTATCCCACTCGTCACAGGCACCAACTTCTTCTAAATACACTCTGGTAAACTTTGTCTTTGTATCATTGACAAAGAGACTCCATTCACTGAGAATATTCTTGGAGATCTGAAAGATATCCTGTAACTCCTCCACATCTTCACCAATCTCCTCTAAATCGTCTGAATAGCCGGACTCAAGAGGCATGTGGTTATCGGCTATCGGAGGGTTGGGTCTTGAGGGGAGGACTGCTCTTATGTGCACTACAGCTCCAGCTAGATTGAGGGTAAACAATTTACCAGCTGTGCTGTCTCCTTGGGAGGCTCCTATGTTGAAAGAGAACATCTCTGAGTCAGTAGAACACACTCTGACTACTAGAGTGGTGTTAGCCATGAGGTATTGTACAAGCCTCAGGTCGTCTCTGGAGCATCCTGCAGCTTCTAGTAGTCTGATTGTTGTACCTTTGCGGATGGTATTGAAGGCAGCTGACATGTCGATACTCACTTTGTTTCATTCAAACTCCTTCTTCATTACTACAGATATGAGCATGCTCTGTGCCCAAACTAGGTCGGCACAGCTCCTGCCAGCTTTGTAGGCAGCTTGGAACGGTCCGGTGAAGTTGTCCACAGCTCTCTCTATTCTGTTTAGCACTATCAGTGACAGGATCTTTCTAGAAACATTCAGCAGGGTCAATTGCTATGGTCGTATCGACTTAACTGGGCCACGAGTTTTACCAGGCTTAGCCAGTGGTGTGAGGATGCCTGCTCCTATTGCTTCAATGTGAATGTTTTTCTCGAAAGACTCGTTGAACACATTAGCCAGCTCTTCATGAAGGAGGGGGTTGTTCAGGGCTTTCATGACCTCGCCATGAACTTTATCAATACCCACTGCTTTACCAGACTTGAGTTTACTGATGGCTCTCTCTATCTCTGCAACGGTGATGGGACTGTTAAGGCTAGATGGGGGGTCAAGGAAGGCAGGAAGGGTAGGCTCATCAGCGTCGTTGAACTCAGCTTCAAAGTACTCCTTAATAATCCTCGCTTTCTCCTCATTAGTACCTGCGATATTCCCAGCAGGGTTGTGGACGGTTAGAGCTGGTCTAACATATCCTTTGGCGAGTATCTTAGAGGCTCCAAAGTATCTCCGGGCGTCGTCTGTGTTGTTTACCTCTTCGACGAGTGTGTCAGCACTGCGGTTGTTGATATCTCTGAGTCTCTTTGTAATCTTACGTCTCAGCTGGTTGATGTTGGTCTTGACATGCTTCCTGTTGGTCGGGAATTTGTTCTGCATATTCGCAATCATCAGCTGCTTGCGTTCAAGTGACAGTTCAGCGATCTCAGGATCAGTACTGAAGGATTTGTGCTTTTTTTAGCCAGTTGTTTGGCCATAAGAGGTAGCCTCCCTAGTCTTGGGACATCAGGAATGTCCGAGGAAGAGATTATTGAGGAACATCTATTTTCATTACTGAATAATGATGTATGTCGTGATATAATGAAGATTCCTCAACCGTATGATGTTAATCGTATTACAAGTGAAGTTCTAAAATATATGAACGACGATAAGGACTCGGCTGCACTATAGTGAAAATTATTTTAATGATAGACTTTTATATTCAAGTTAAATGATATAAGTAACTTCAAATTAGAACCTCAAGTTCTTTTATTTACGTTATTACAGTAACACCTGTAAAATTTTTACTTCATTGACACTGTTTTTTAATTTTGTAATATAATATATTGACAGATTGTTTGAGCGATAACTTTTACATTGAAACATCATTAGACGTGACTCTTTTTAACTTTGTAATATAATATCGTGACAAATTGACTCATTGTTTGAGCGATAACTTTTATGAAATATCATTAGACACTATTTTAAATTTTGTAATATAATATCGTGACACAGTGACTCTTTGTTTAAGCGATAACTTTTATGAAACATCATTAGAATTTTATTCAGTTATTAATTCATTACGATTAGTATCACTAGATTTAATGATATAGATTATCATAGCCCTATTTTCAGTGTTGACACTGAATGGAATCTGTTGTTTTTTAAAAATTATTTATGAATCAGCTGTTTTATATTTCTATGAATTATAATTTACTATTGTAATGATCAAATGTATCAATTATTTATCGGTTGTACCTATGTTATATGACTGTTTTACTCTTGTCATGGGCATTCCTATATTCCTACATGTAATGACTAATGAACAAAAATACCAACGCATGACCTAAAAGTAAACTAGTCTAGAATATTCACTCCATTGCAATTTCAACCCAAATTTGAATTTATGTTAAAAAAGTTAAACTTTCTAAGCCTGAATTTTGAAATTTAACATTAATTAGTTTAACTTTTTTAACTTTTTTTAACGTGGACCCCCCCCCCCCCCCCCTAATAAATATCCTTGCTCAGATGGAGACAGTATCAGGTTATCTGAACTAATAAATATCCTTGCTCAGATGGAGGCAGTATCAGGTTATCTGAACTAATAAATATCCTTGCTCAGATGGAGACAGTATCAGGTTATCTGAACTAATAAACATCCTTGCTCAGATGGAGACAGTATCAGGTTATCTGAACTAATAAATATCCTTGCTCGGATGGAGACAGTATCAGGTTATCTGAACTAATAAATATCCTTGCTCAGATGGAGACAGTATCAGGTTATCTGAACTAATAAATATCCTTGCTCAGATGGAGACAGTATCAGGTTGTCTGAACTAATAAATATCCTTGCTCAGATGGAGACAGTATCAGGTTATCTGAACTAATAAATATCCTTGCTCAGATGGAGACAGTATCAGGTTATCTGAACTCGTCAGTAAAAGGACTCCCCGACTCCAAATATTACAACAGCTCTAACAGAGCTTACCCTGATGTATCAGCAATGTCTGACGACTTCTGGATCATCATCGACAGGTTGGTTTATTAAATCTAATAGAATTAGATAACAGAACCGTTACGTAATTAATTATCTTAAGTTCTTAATTATCTTACGTTTAATTCTCTTAAGTTCTTAATTATCTTACGTTCTTAATTCTCTTACGTTTAATTCTCTTACGTTCTTAATTCTCTTACGTTCTTAATTCTCTTACGTTTAATTCTCTTAAGTTAATGACGTTCATTGTTGATCTGCAAGTACGATCTAGTTAGATTTGTCCCAACTTTTCTTCTACAGTTCATATCAAGGCGTGGACAGCTTTTTCGTTGTATCCCTTATATTTATAACATGACCTTTCGGAGGCAAAGCTGGTATTTACTGATGCAGTTCTGAGTTCTGAATCTGATGAACAGCTTGAACATGGTGTTATCATGCAATATAAATTGTATTTAACAGACCATAACTGATAACAATTCCCCAGACTCCTAATGAACGTGGCGGGCACCTCCGCCGCCACCCCAACAGTAGCCGGCCTCATCGCCTTGGCTAACGACGCTAGGTTGAACGCTGGGAAACCAGTCCTAGGATTCCTCAACCCCTTCATCTACCAGAACCCTGACATCTTCTTTGATGTGACCCTAGGTTAAATTTAAGATTTTATTTTTCGATTTATAGTTTTCTCCCACATATTTTCACTTGTAGTTGTAATCGTCTTTATTGAATCTCCTTCAAGTTTAAAAAAATTAATGTATAACCAAGACGAGTCCGTTAGTGTTCTCATAGGTAATTTTATCTTTAATTCCTGTTTAATTAATCAATAAATTAATTCCTGTTTAATTCATAGGACCCCCGAGCTCAGCCTGCTGGTTAGATGATCTGGAGGGGTACCCTCTCAGTGAGGGGTGGGACCCTGTCACTGGGTTTGGTACACCAGACTATCACAGACTTGTTGCTGCTGCGATGAAGTATTAAACTGAAGAGGCGTCCCACGTGATTGGGTATCGCGTCATGATTAGTCACGTGACAAGGCGCGTCACTGTTAGAACACGTGGGCATGTCTCATGTCGCAACAAAGACTTGTTGCTGCTGCTATTAAGCATTGAACTTAAGATACAGAATGTACCGTCATGTTTTGAGAAATGTGGAGTGAATTTTTAACACGTTTCATGCCTTTACACCACGTGACTTTACAGTTTACACCACGTGGTATGAAGGTATATCCATGATTGTTTGATGAAAACTGTAGAGGAAGTTTGATTTTTGGTACACAATGACATCCCTTTGATGTTATTTTTATGTTTCGATTTTCTTTTGTAAAAACATTTCAACCAGGATCACGCACAATGATCATATTATGTTTGTAAGTATTTTTAAAGTATTTCTATGTTATTGTATAATGTGTTATGTGTTATGTGTTAATACTTCTAAAATAAGTTTGATATGATAATGGTATTGATATGATAATGGTATTATATTTTTATTATGAAATGGTTTGCTTTATTTTTCATCGACTTGTTTGGATAGGGCCGGGTTATACTGGGCGGCGCTCAGCCTGTCATTCCGCTGAATCTCTATTCTCTGTTTATGAACATAAATATCATAGCCTGGAGTCCCTGCAGGTAAGGGCCAGACTGCAGCCCAGTACTGCAGCCCAGTACTGCAGCCCAGTACTGCAGCCCAGTACTGCAGCCCAGTACTGCAGCCCAGTACTGCAGCCAAGTACTGCAGCCCAGTACTGCAGCCCAGTACTGCAGCCCAGTACTGCAGCCCAGTAATGCAGCCCAGTAATGCAGCCCAGTACTGCAGCCCAGTACTGCAGCCCAGTACTGCAGCCCAGTACTGCAGCCCAGTACTGCAGCCCAGTACTATACTTGCAGACTATCAACATATTGACGGCCGTCAAAACATGATTTAAAAATTAACAGCGTGATGAACGTCACTGACCACTGTTCCTAGCCAGAAGTCTTAACCGTATTAATGGGGAGAGAGAGTGGGTGACGTCATGAGATAAGGAGTTTAAAAAGGGACTGAGAAACCACACAATTTGAATTATGACAGGGATATCCATATAGCATATAAGGTGACATAATATTGATAGAAGTTACACCCGAACGAATAGTTCAGATACTTAAAATCATTTGCAGTTAATTGGCAGTTGAATTAAACTCGATCCTCTTAATCAACTCCATTATCTTAACATTTCCATAACTTCACGGTTTGATAGGCTAGGTGTTTGTAACATATATCTCGAGTAATTTTTGAGAATTCGTAAGTTAATTTGTGGTTCATTTATAATATCGACATGACAGCAGTAAAACAACACTGATTATAAGTTGACAAATTATGAAAATATAACTAATCTTTCATATCAAATTATTCAACAAATATAAACAAACACACAAGCTATTCACTGATAAGGTAAAAGTAACTTAATAAGCTATAAGTAACTTAAATAACACAAAACTAACCTCAAATATTACGTGATCATCTCTATAAAGTTTAACATATTGATGAAATGATAACAAAGCACTGATAAATAGCTGCTAACCTCCATATTATTGAGCTGTTAGTGTTTCATTCTGCACACCATATATCACGAGTACTGCTATAATGACTACTAATAAATTGGTATCGGTTTAGACGTGAGTCCTGACCAGAATAAGTGAAACATGATATTTATTATTTAAGTTATTGTAAAACAATAATATTGTAAAACAATAACTTAAATAATAAATATATTATGTCTCTCACGGCTAGCAGCCACTTTTTATTCTTTGGGGCTCTGCTTTATCTCTTTATCTACTCTCTGGTCAGATGTTCATACAGTTCATCCTCGTGACCAATTTAATCATAATGTCATTGGCTATACCACGTGATATGGTAAGTCACGTGACCAGAGTCGGAGTACAGGGTGGTTTATGGCGCGTCACTATTACAGCACGTGGGCGCTTCATGGTCATCAGTCAAACCACTTGGGCACATCACAGTCACACCACGTGAACCAACTTCACACTTGTCATGATGTTTCATCTTATGACGTCATGATGACGTCACACACTCATTGCAACACGACCCCCTCGTGAATAGGGTTAACAGTGACGAAGTCTGAGTGTTCTGATGTAGTACTTGTGTGGTGGGATCCTGCTGTTCGTGAGGTCAGAAACCTGAACATGTTTTGGAGTAGCGGCCCTCTTCTTTTCCTGCAGAATATTAAGTTTTAATTAATAGAATAAAACAAAAGTTACATTTATTACCAATTATTCAATCAAAACATATCATAGACTCTAATATTGGAAACACAAAGCAAGATGGATGTCTTACATTATAATTTTATTGTAGTTAATAGTAATAGTTAGTCATGAGGTAATTGTGGGATGTTGCGAAATTAATTAAATCATATTAGGATACTTTGATTTATTTCAATCACTGATTTAACTTGGAAAATTTACAAAGCTTTGTGAAAACTTTGATGATCACGAAAAGACTGCACCGAAGTTCTTTGAGGGGATATATTTAATGATAATTATGTTAAATACAGGGTGGCCCATAAGTGACTACCCACACGCAACCTCCTAATAACTCACGTAATTCGTCTCCAAATTGCACCAAAATTTCAGAGATGATAGATATGGGTCAAACTTAGATTTCCTGAAAGTTTCGTAAGCCACGCCCAATTACAGTGGGCGTGGCGTGACACTCCCTCTTTTTCACTATTGTCTTCATAAAATGAGAATGCTTTAAGCTAAGAACTCAAAAATTTTTGCACACATTTGGCTTGATAATTGAAAACTTTTCCCAAAGTTTTAAATTCATTGGTTAAAATATCGCTAAGTTATGACCATTTCAAAACTCATCGGATACGTGATCCGAGCACTCAGTCAGTGATCTCGTCACTTGGTTAATGGCCTGTTTGGCTCACATGCACCGCTTGATTGGTTGCAGCCTGCTTATGGGCCGGCCTATACAGCTGACAGCACCTAAAACGCTATCACACGAATTTATGGTGGTGTCACCATTTCAGGGCTTGTTAGCCCTGCTAGTCACAGGTTCCTTACAATCAATAAAAAGGAATGAACCATCCATTGAATCATCGAAAATGGTTCACTATCCTCCCTTTACTGCAGAACAACGATTGTTCGTGTATTAGAGGGAAACGGTCATGTACAGTTATTTATTGACAGCTTGACGGCTGTGATTGATACGCTCCTCAAAGGTTGGTTTAATGTCTTATGTCATAGAAGGTAGACTTTTCAATGGTATAGTGCAATCACTAAAGAGCAATTTTAAAAATCTCAATTTACAGGGATGCTACAATTTAAAGCCAGACTTTTCTTCATGAGTAAGTACTGAATGTTCTATCTTTAGATAGACATGTCAAAATCAATTACGTTTAACAGTGTCATAGTGGCTGGCCTTTTAACAAATTATTATTATTTTTGATATAGAGCTACTACTTATGTCCAGGATCATTATAATACATAACGCCGGACTTCTAGGCATTGTGCTTGGTTGTGGTTTTTTAAATTATACTGCGGTGCTGTATTTTGCACACAAGAGGACTATAGTGCAAAGAAACTATAACCACGAAACGACTGACATAGGTTTTGGAGAAAACAAATAACATACATTAGGTTTTCAGGGCTTAATTTGTCATCCAAATTTGTTTCAAAACTATCCAAATCATTTAAACACGGATTTCATCAGGTAGTTATCCCGTGTCCAATACTAACAGCTGTCCACTTACCCTGAGAAAGAGGTGGAGGATGTGGAACTAGTACCATGGGAGCTAGCAGGAGACCCCATTGTACTACTTGTATTACTATCCTGCCTTCTCCCTAAACAACCGCTCTTTTCCCTATTTCCCGTCATGTGACGCGTGTTTTCCCGTTTTCCCGAACATCTTGTAGCAGGAGATGATTTAGTGCGACTAGCTGACTTCTTGGTTTGGGTTCCTCCTCCTCGTGCAGGTTCAGAGCTTAGCACTTGGGCGTAGTACATGTTGTATTTGTAGATGTCCATGTTTTCTTGGCTGTGTAGGAAGTATTGCGGTTAGTAGTGTTATAAGTGATGCCTTATTTTAAAATTATGAAATGTGGTTATGGCTACTACTATAAACTACAACTATTTACTAAGTTATATCAACTATTTACAAACTATTTTATGATTGTTTACCACGGGATTACTGTTATATAAGCAGTATGTTATAACATATTTACTGGGCGTATTATAACATATTTAAGTTTATTATTAACACAGTATATCGCTCCATCATCACCTCTTGATGATTTAACACAACACTGATAAGATACGGATGACTCAATGATATAAGAAGCACTGAACAAGCCATATTAGAGTAAAATCCTTTAGTCGGATCTCTCAGTGTTCATCTGCATACAACTTTAACTGTTAAATAAATATAGCAGTATCTCATGAGAAATATCCATATTATGGAATGTACTCGATCTTGATTAGAAGCCAGATCAATTAAAAGTAGGAGGGGGTGGCAAAAATGTAAATAATATTTCTTGTAATAATATTTCGACCAGCTCATCAATATTGGTTTGATTATCTGAGATGATTTCTGGCCAAAAAGGAAGATAACGACCAATAATTTCTTCAGCAAGTAAGCATATGTCCTCCCGAAACTAAATATGCTCATAATTATGCCTCTGTTTATACCTACAGTTACAGGTTTACTTTAGGAGATAAGGTATTCAGGAAAAAAATTGATTGATAGCGAAAATCATGCATGCAAATCACTTAGAAAATAAAAAAGAGTTTACTACCGAGTTAGAAATATTCACTTTATAGTAGGACCCTAGTTACAAAACTATAAGTATCAAGGATCAAGTTGTTAAAAATGAATCTTTGTAAAATGATATTTTTCATCTGTACTAATTTAATTTTAAAAGTCTCGCAATGAAACTTAAATAGTTTTAAAGATCTAGCGATACGTTCGTGTTAACTGTTTAACATGCTACTTTAGTCTCTACTAACTCTAAGTACGAGTCATGGGTTAAGTTAAACATAAACACTTGTAAGAAGTACACAAACAAAACAAATATCTTGCAAGAAAATTGCTACACTTGTAAAAGCCGTGCAATTGCATCATAACATCATATTTTATGAAAATTATGGACATGATAAGATTTATGTAAATGTCATACTTGAATACCTTGATGCGGAACATTTACGGCTATTTGCAGAACAAAATAAATTTGCATGAATTAGATTTATCATCGAGGAGAGAAAGATGTACGTGCGGAAATATAATATAATTAAAAAATGCACATTCATTTACGTTTGAAATTAGAACGGTGGTTATTTTCGTACAAACTGATAAAATGTTGTTGAAAAAATGGAGGGGTTGGCAAAGGTTCGCTATAAGTGTCAAAAAATGTTAAATTGTTTAAAAGTTTCTTTCATAACGACAGCAGGTTAGATCCAAACGAAAAAAAAACAACAAACGGAAAAATAGTGACAAGA